GATTACACCGATCTAAACAAGGCATGCCCTAAGGATAGCTTTCCCCTGCCCAAAATCGACCGCCTGGTTGATTCGACGGCCGGGCATTCCCTGATGAGTTTTATGGACGCATACTCCGGATTCCATCAAATTCCATTATGGGAAGAAGACCAGGAGAAAACAGCGTTCGTGACTGAGCAGGGGTTATATTGTTACAAAGTTATGCCATTCGACCTTAAGAATGCCCCAGCTACCTTTCAACGACTTGTTAATACAATCTTTAGAGATCAGCTCGGCCGGAATATGGAGGCGTACATTGATGACATGATTGTCAAGTCAAAAGAGCCGGTCGACCATTTGAAGGATCTACGAGAAACTTTCACCGAACTCAGGCGGCATAAGATGATGCTAAATCCAAATAAATATGTCTTTGGTGTTGAGTCCGGTAAATTTCTCGGATTTTTAATTGATCAACGTGGAATTGAGGCCAACCCTGAAAAAATCCAAGTTGTCATGGACATGAAGTCACCAAGGACAATTAAAGAAGTCCAAATATTGACTGGCTGTTTAGCAGCACTTGGTAGATTTCTGTCAAGATCAGGGGACAAGTGTCGTTATTTCTTCCAAACCATAAAAAAGAAAGCCATGTTTGAGTGGACAGAGGAGGCCGAGGAAGCATTCGTACAACTAAAAGGCCATCTACATACATTGCCTCGGCTTGTCAGTCCACTTAAGAGCGAGAAGCTATTTATCTATCTTGCCATCACACTCCTTAAGTGCCGTCCTACTTGCTGAACGGGACGGCCGCCAAATCCCTGTCTACTTTATCAGCCACGTACTTCATAACGCCGAGTTAAGGTATCCCCCTATTGAAAAATTTATCTTGGCATTATACATGGCATCTAAAAAGCTGCGGCCATACTTCTTGGCACATTCAATTGTGGTCTACACAGACCAACCTCTGAAGAAGCCATTTACAACTTTAGAGGCAAGCGGCCTTATGCTTAGATGGGCCTTGGAAATGAGAGGCTTTGACATTGCATTTGATCCAAGAAAAGCAATTAAGGGCCAAGCCTTTGCTGATTTTGTAGCTGAAATGACTCGACCGGATCTTCAGACGGCCGGCGATCAGATCTGGAAAGTGTTCGTTGATGGTAGTGCGACAGCTACTGGCTGTGGTGCAGGTATTATATGTCAGTCTCATGAGGGAGACAAGTTTGAATATGCTCTGAGATTCTAGTTTCAAGCCTCTAATAATGAGGCCGAGTACGGAGCCCTCTTGGCCGGCCTTAGAATGTGTAAGGCGGCAGGAGCGACAAAAATTGATGTATGTTCGGACTCCCTACTTGTAGTTGGCCAGGTGAATGGAGACTTCGAGGCGAGGGAGCCGTCCATGATAAAGTACTTGAAGATTGTAAAAGAGGAGGCCAAGAGCCTAGATCATTTTACTCTACAGCATGTCCCTCGTTCGTCCAATCATCAGGCGGACGCACTCTCTAAGTTAACATCCTTAACATCATGTGATACTCCCAGGTCAGTGTTTTGGGAAGTGAAAGAAAAGAGGAGTATTGACGTTGAAACAGTATACGCCATTGATAGAAGCTCCACTTGGATGGACGGGATCATATCTTACCTAAAGGATGGATTACTCCCGGCCGATCCTAAAGAGAGCTGGCTGATGAAAAAGAGAGTGGCCTGGTTTGAAATTAAGCAAGGAGAGTTGTTTAAAAAGGCATTTGTAAGGCCGTACCTGAAATGCATCACTCCTGAGAGAGGGAATGATGTCTTGGATGATCTTCACCAGGGGCAGTGTGGTTCTCACATTGGAGGGCGAGCTTTGGCTGAAAAGGCTTCCCGCCTGGGTTACTACTGGCCGAGCTTAAAGTCGGACGCAATGGAAATGGTAAAGAAGTGTGACAAGTGCCAGAGGTTCGCAACATTAATTCACCGGCCCGCCAACAGTCTTTCGGCCATCAGCAGTCCGCTCCCCTTTGCCAAATAGGGGATGGACATTTTAGGTCCGTACACACCAGCGTCCGGCCAGTGGCGGTATGTGTTCGTAGCAGTAGACTACTTCACAAAATGGGTAGAGGCCGAGGCCGTCCGGGGCATCAAATGGACGGATGTTTCAGCTTTCATATGGAAGAGTATCATTACACGCTTTGGCGTTCCTCAGTCTATGGTGTTTGACAACGGACCTCAGTTCGAAACGCCTCAACTCAAAGAATGGTTGGAAGACCAAGGCATAGCTCATTGCTTTGCTTCAGTCGGCCGTCCACAAGCAAATGGTCAGGTAGAGGCATACAACAAATTGATCTCCAATGGAATTAAGCGCAAGCTTGAAAGAGCAGGCGGCTTATGGGCTGACGAGTTAGTTAATGTGTTGTGGTCCATACGAACCACGGCCAAGACTTCCACAGGAGAAACTCCCTTCTTCTTAGTCTATGGTTCCGAGGCGGTCATTCCAATTGAAATGTATGAGCCCACCCTTAGGGTAATGCTATATGATGAAGCGGCCAATTGGGAAGCCATGAAGACTGCCCTAGATTTCCTTCCTGAAGCCAGGGGCAACGCGGCACTTAGACACGAAATCTATTATCTACGAATGACAAGGGCGTACAATCGCCGAGTGTCTAAGCGGCCGATGAAGTTGGGAGATCTGGTCCTAAGAAAGATGGAGGCTGTGGGACGAGAAAATGAAGATGGGAAGCTGACCCCAAATTGGGAAGGGCCGTATCGAGTTAGGGAAGAAGTCCGAGATGGGACTTATCGTCTCGAAGCCATGAACGGCCGACCCATTCCGCGTACATGGAATGCAGACAATCTGAAGAGATATTATGTTTAAGTACTTAGCCAAAAGCTGTGTATAAAGCTAGGTCTGTTGACCGAGCAATGTAAGCCGTACGACCACAACAATGTAATTTTGACGAATTAATGAAAAGTCAAACATTGTTATAATTATTTTTCCATTCAATTTATGCTTATTTGCACAGTCATAACTTATACAGCCGCGTGAAATTTGCAAGTAGGTTGCTTGCAACATAGCAACTCAGTCGCAGAACAAAAGTAAATTAAATAAAATAAGAATGGGCAACTTAGTCCCAAGTCATATGAATGCGTCCGCCCTTAATTAAGGCGGACGGAAAAGGTAAGGTACCCTGTGAAACCCATATAATGGGGCAAGGGCATACCTAGGCATTCCAGCCCAGCCGAGCATGAAAATTTTGAGTTGAGATCATACTTGGAATTTTCTAAGTGCGTCCGAGCGATAGTTTCAACGGACAAACTCACATAAAGCCAATTGAACGGCCAATTAACGTGTTGATTCGGCGTACCACCTTGTCCAAGGGCAATCATTATTATGATTTGATTAACTTGGTAGAAGTCATACCACCTAAGGTATAAATTCTACCAAGTCAATCAAACCACCCAAAGTATGGACTAGGCGAACGCCGAATAAAGGGGCATACCCCTCAATCGTACGAAAATGCAAAAAACTATGCAAAAACTTGTTAAGTATAAAATGTGCAAAGTATGGAGAAAAATTTGGGAGCTGAATTAATAAAAGGACCACTCAAAAGGCGGTAAAATATCTTACATAAAAACCGCTCGAAAAGGCGGCTAAAGAAGTCAAGAAAAAATATACATAAATGGTTAACAAGACAGAAAAATAAAGCTGAAATCATGGGGCGGCCGGAGAAGAAGCTGGACTCTGGCCTGGGCCGAGCTCTTGAACGATGGCAGGGGACGCGTCATCAGCAGGCGCCTCCTTGCTCTCAGCCTCACCGTCTTTGCTAGCCGCCACTTCTTCGATTTCCTCCTCCTCTGAGGTAGTTGGCGTGACGTCTAGCTCAGGTGAAGGATGCCCGGCCTTCTTAGCCTCTTCTCCGAGGCAGACAATAGGCCGCCTCTCCCTCGTCCACCATAAGCTCAAAAGCCTCAAAGAAGTGGCTCTTTAGCCTGTCCTCAGCATTCTGCTCAATGAGGACCACCTCATCCGCACTGGGGGTCCGAGGTGTTCGCAATAAGAGAGTTAAGTCCTTAACGGACTTCTTTAAACTTTCCACCTCGGCCCTTAGAGCGTCCGACTCGTCCAAGGCCTCCTTCAAGTGTTTTTGGGCTAAGGCCACATCACTCTGAAGCTTCTCGGAGGCCTCGAACCCTTCCCTCCAGCGCTGGCCGTTCAGTAGGGCCTGGTCCCTCTCTTGTCTCATGGCATCTCTGGCCACGGACTCTTGCTGAAGGGCCTCGCCTTGCTTCACCAAATCTTCCGCCTGCCGCGCCGCCTTGTCGGACAAAGCGTTGATTTGGGTTTCGAAATAACGGCGCTGGACGGCCACCTCCCCCGTAATGGCATCCTGGGTCTTCTAAATCTGGGCCCAGGCATGCTTCAGCCGCTCATTCTCCTTGTCCTTCCATTCCAGGAAGGCATTCAGCCGCAGGAAGAGCTGCGTACAGGGTAAATGTGTTAGCAAAGTGAGAGCGAAAAATTGACTAAGTGCATTTGAGGGTAAAAGTTCCCTCAGCGCTGCAATTGATCATGGGGTCGAGGAAGCCCTCATGTATCCCCCGCAGCTTGTCTCGCTGCTCAGCAGGGACGGCTCGGGCCATGGCTTCCCGCATAGCCTTTTTGTCCGCCCCAGTAAGGGACTGGCCGGGCGTCTTCATGTCTAGCTCCTCTGCAATATCTGTATGCAGGACGTAAAGAATTTAATGTAAGTTCAGTAAACAAAAGAGAAGAAACGAAATAGAAAGTCCAAAGTTACTTGGACTGACCGTCAGAGAAGCTTGGAGGGGTAGGAAGGTTGAAAGTGAAGGGTGGAGGCGGCGCAGGTTCATCACCCTCTTCATCCGTCTGGCCAGGCTGGTCGCCGGCCGACTGAGTGACCTCCAGCCAATCAGCTTTCTTGACTCTTTGAACAGGCGGAGTCAATTCAGGCCCAGTCGGTTTTGCCGGGGTCGACTTACCCCTATCGTCCGATTTCTCGGACCCAACATGACCCGGCATGGAGGCCGGATCTATGGACTTGGAGGCCCCGCTATCGCTCAGCCGGGGTTGTTCTCCTTTGGAGTGCTTAGAGGCAGTCCGCGACGTCGTCTTAGCCGCTGAAGTGGAAGTGGTCTTGGACGCGACCGTCTTCTTTTGTTTGGACGCCTTGCCGTCCTGGTCCGTCTTGGACGCAGGGGACGATTGCTTCCGTTTGGACCTGGGGTTGGAGTGGCCAGCTGTAGAGACAAAAGTTAGTAAAAGAAAACATGATAATATAATAGGCCGAGCCAAGTTAGGAAGAAGATCTCTTCCGTAATGCATACACGGACGGGAGGAAGAAATCTAGATGGGTTTACTTACTCCTTTAGTTTGCTCGTACAGCCTCTGGCGAGCCTTGTACCGAGTCAAGTCAATCTCGAACATGTTGACCTCCCCTTTCTGCTCTTGGTCCAGCATCTTGTACGCCTCAGCTACGAGAGAAGAGGAAAAAGAGTTAGAAAATTCTTCAACATCAAATAATATGTGTAAGTGTAAGAATATGTGTCCGTGCGTCCACCTTGGGGCAGATTCTTGTACAGGCCATAGGCGGACATAAAGGTGGGATCCCGCAGCCAGCTGGATAAAGGGACCCAGTTACTTGGAACGCGCTCAGTTCTGCCGCCCCTTCTCACCCGCTTGACTTTGAAATATTCAAGCTGGTATTCCTGGCTGGGGTGGACGGGTGGCTTATCAGGCTTGAGCCAACCGTCCGTATCCGCGTCCAGCTTAGTCAGTGAGTGCATCTCACAGAAAACTGCGAAGTCTGGCTTGAAGCCTTTGCAAATGCACGTCACCAAGTATCCAAAAATGTTCAACCAGCTGTTTGGCATCAGCTGGAAGAGGGCTATGTCATACTCGTCCAAGATTGTGCGGACGAAAGGATGGAGGGGGAAGCGCAGTCCAACGTCTAAGGCCGCCCTGTAGACGCTGAAGGACCTTTGGCGCGGCCTCTCTTCTTCCCAAGCGGCCAAAGCGCGGGACTTCCTTGGAGGCTGGATCTCAAATCCCTCTCCAAGGTGGAGGAATGCCTTGTATTCCTCAAATTTGTGGTTCAGGTAGCCCAAGGTTGTGCTACCCACTGTGCAGGCGTACGGATCCTTGAAGTTGTCAATATTGGCAACATCCTCCTCGGCCGCCTCTTCGCCCTCTGCGGCCGCCGCTCCACCCTCGGCCGCATTCTCAGCTTCATCCTCTTCTCGCTGAGGAGCGCTCCCAAACTCGGAAGACAACACCCTGTCCAGGTCGGCTGCCTCCGCCGAGCTGCGGCTCCTAGAACTATGGCTGCCTCGGGGAGAGATAATGTCTTCAAGTGGTCGTTTGCCCTTATCTTTGGCACCGGCCGCCTGACTCCCAGTAGGAGGAGCTCTTCGACGGGGCAGGTCGGACGGTTCATTAATTGAAACCCCCGTTCTTGGTCTGTCTGACCTGCTATATCGGAGATAGAGTTATGATGGAGTGGGGACGGACGCGTCAGCGTCCGCCCGAGAAGAAGAAGGAGGCCCCTCACAGAGTAGCAACTCGGCCCCATCCATGACCGAGCTGGCATATTGGGGGAACCTCAACCCCGCAGTTTGCCCGGATGTTCCCCCCATTGTAGAAGCTCCTTGAGTTCTTTGACGCTCCTCGAATGAGGAAGTTACTTCCACGGCCGAGCAGTGAGTGCCCGTGGAAGCGGTCGTAGGAGTGGTGGAAGGGGTCTCTACGTTAACATTGTCTGGCCGCATGACGATCATGCATTTGCATCGTCCGTGCCATGTTCGACTGCAGGGACAGAGAAGAATGGGTGGATGTGAGTTGGTACGCACTAGAAATGGACCCACTCCATGAAGGAGACAACTCGTCTCCGTCCACTCTAGACTCCTCAGTCCCAGGCGAACGACCGGCCTCATGAGGAGAAACGGACGAAGCCGAGTGTTGAGCTAGCTTTTAAATAAACAACGAAATAAAAAGACAAGGAAAAGAAGGTGACCTAATAAACGGCGCGTCCAAAGGGAAGTTGGAAGAACTAAAGCCCTTTCCGCAATGGCAAGACGGTCGCATCTCTCCAAAGCAAGACGGCCTATCTTCAACCAGGGAAGTTGGCAGAGCTAAAGCTCTCTTCGCATTGGCGAGACGGCCGCCTCTCCCAAAAGCAAGACGGCTTACCTTCGTCCGCGCCATTTGTATAGACAGGCGTTCGCTCTAAAATTTTCAGGCGGACGGAAAGCTGACAAAAACATAATACACTTGTACGCACCAAGGCTATTTGAGGTTAGAGGAGTCGGCCTGTAAGCGTACGAGCCACCCCCTCTGAGGGGCAAATGTTGTGGGTAAAAATACCCCGTATACATGGACCAATCCCATAGTGAAACGTGTCATCACGGGAAGATGCCACGTAATTCAGAGCCCTTAAAGCCGCAGGCCAGTCTTGTCGTGACACGTGGCCAGTCAGAGGGTGACACGTGTCGTCACGAGAATATGCCATGTGTTAAGGACATTTGTTCCCTTAACAGTAAACATGCCAGAAAACCCTAGCAACGTCAGGGCCCAAATCCCGAGAGATAACAATGAAAGCCGCAAAACGGCGCCCCCAGAGTAGCACGTGGCATTCGCTGAATGCACAGCCAATCACGTCACGCAAATCTAGGGTATAAACCCTAGAGAGGGGAACGAGTCCCACCCCTATAAATACCCCAAACATTTATGATGGGAAGAAAATTCAGACAATTGAAAAACAACAGAGCATTAAATAGCTCCAACTTCTCTCTACTTTCTCTCTGTAGCCTTTTCCGTTCTGATCACTGACTTGATCGTCAGAGGCGAATATTCCGTTGACCAGAATATTCTTTGTTTTGCAGGTGGGACCGACTCATTGCCAAAAGAGCGTGACCAGTATCCCAGGAAATCCAAAAAACACCCGAAACACGGCTGGTGTCTGGCAAAGAGATTCTGAGTGCATCGCCTCTATATCATTGAATTTTTATAAAGATCTTTATTCGGTCTCAAGCGATGCTTCTACCCAAGATTCTAATTGGTGGGATCAGTTGCAATTACCATCTCTCTCTTCAGCTCAGCAACAGCTTCTTATGGCTCCTTTTTCTGCTCAGGAAATTCAGAGTGCTATTTTTGGTATCGATGACAACAAATCTCCAGGACCTGATGGATTTTCTTCAGCTTTCTTTAAAGCCCACTGGTCTGACGTTGGTTCGTCTGTTGTTTCGGCGGTTTAACACTTCTTTTCTCATGGGTATATGTTAAAAGAATGGAATCGTACCTTCCTTGTTCTGCTTCCGAAAGTAGAAAATCCTGAACTAATTTCTCAGTTTCGGTCGATTGGTCTCTGCAATGTGATTTATAAGTGTGTTGCTAAGTGTCTCACAGGTCGGCTTCGCTTGATCTTGCCTAGTTTGGTGGCTGATTACCAGAACGTGTTTGTTCCAGGTCGTCTTTTATCGGATAACGCGTTGATTGCTCATGAGGTAATTTCTTTTATGAACAATTCAAAGGCCAAGAAGAGGTTTTATGCAGCTCTCAAGTTAGATATGAATAAAGCTTATGATCGGGTTTGGTGGGATTTTTTTACTTCGGGTTCTATAGGCTTACGGCTTCCCACCTAATTGGATTCATATAATTAGTCAATGTGTTTCGACAGTTTCTTATCAGGTGCTCCTTCCCCAGCTTTCCAGCCTCAGTGTGGGCTTCGTTAGGGGGATCCGCTTTCATCCTATTTGTTTGTCCTCTGTATGGAAGTCCTTTCTGCCATGCTTAGGAAGGCCGAAAGAGATTCTCTTATTCAGGGAGTCCGTATTTCCAGGGGTGGCCCCTCAATTTCTCATTTATTTTTCGCGGATAATTCCTTGTTGTTTTTACAGGTGTCTCCTACAGCATGTGACAATCTTATGGCTCTCCTAACTGAGTTTTGCGGGTTATCGGGGCAGGTGATTAACTTACAAAAGTCGTTCGTTAAGTTTAGCCCGAATACGCCGGAGGATTATCGGGATTATCTTTCTAGTAGCCTGAAACTTCATTGCAAGCCCTCTCTTGGTTCTTATTTGGGGTTACCGGTTGAGTTCGGTCGCAGTAAGGTGGATGACTTTGGTTTTCTGATTGACAAAGTGGTTAAGCGACAATCTGATTTTGCGGATGTTGGTTTGTCTTCTACTGCTAAATTAGTAATCATTAATTCGATTTTGGTCGCTTCTTTCAATCATATTTTATCGGTGTTTAAAGTTCCTCCTTCAATCTGTTCTCGCATTGATAACTTGTTGGCTCGATTTTGGTGGAAATCAGATTCTCAATCTCGAGGTTTAGCGATGCGTTCGAAATCTCTTCTTCGGCCTAAAGGGCTGGGAGGTTTAGGTATACGTCAATTGGAAAGCTTTAACTCTGCGCTCCTTACTCGGCAATGTTGGCGCATTCATCAACATCCCCAGCTTTTGGTTTCGAGGTTGCTTACTGCTAAGTATCCTTCCCTTCGTTCTTTTAAGACTCGGACGATTCCTCGGTCTTCTTGGGGTTGTCGCAGCCTTTTAACGGGCCTGTCCACTCTTGATCGGGGTATTGCTAGGAAGGCCGGTTTGGGTTCTAAGGTTCGTATACTTGAGGATGATTGGGTCCCAAGGGGGCCTGTTGTTTTTCGTGATGGTTCTGGTGTGTCGGATCCTCTGACACATGTTTCTTCTATTATTAATCCGCGTTCTTACGCGTGGGATTCGACTTTAGTTCATCGGCTTTTTTATACTTCTACAGCACTTCGCATCATGGCTTTGGATCGCCCTCTTCAGCCAATGGACGATTTCGTTTACTGGAAGTTTTCTAAGAATGGATCTTTCACTACTAAGTTTGCTTACGCAATGTTGCTAAGACATTCGGTGTCTTCCAGGGTCTCGGGTACAATTCCGGCCTCTTGGTGGAAGCACTTCTGGGGGTTGCCTCTACTGCCAAAACTCCAATGTTTTTGTTAGAAATTACTTCACAATGCTCTGCCTCTCTCTGGGACTCTACAGCTCCGAGGGATACTGATTGATCCAACTTGCGTGTTCTGTTACCAAGAACGTGAAACAACATGCCACCTATTTCGTGACTGTTCATTCACTTATCATCTTTGGGCCAGTGCTCCGATTGCCTTTTCATCTCCACTTTTGCATGGAAAGCCTTTTACTGACTGGTTTATTGATACGGTCTCTGAGCTTCGTTCCTTTCAAAATTAGGACGGTTTGGTCTCCTTTGTTTCCTTTTGTTAGGCAGTTTGGATTGCACGTAACCACAAAATTTTTAGACAAGCAGTATTGTCTCCTGGCGTGATTTTCCATTTGATGCAGGACTGGATCTCTAAGAGTGTTTTAGCGCAAGGGTTCAGGTCCCTTGTTCGCTCGTTAAGGAATTCATCTCTTACTAGTTCGACAGCTTCTGATTCATGTTATATACAGGGTGATTTTTCCTCTACCTTTGATGTTTGCCTTCTTTTTGATGGGGCCTGGAATGCTCAGAATCTTAGTGCCGGAGCAGGTTGGATTTTTAGGGAAGTGTTTTCAGATTCCGTGTTGGGAGGTGGCTCGAGAGCCTGTCACTCCTCTTCGGCCCTTCAGTCTGAGTTACAGGCATGTTTGTGGGCTCTTCGGGCTGCCGGTCGTCGGGGCTTTCGTCGTCTTCTTATCTACTCTGATTTTTCGAATCATTTTTCTCTTCTGCGAGATGGTGGTGACGGAGATATTTCTTGCCACTGGTTGCTTTACGAGATTCGGTTTTCTGTCTTGCAGTTCTCTATCTGCAAACTTCGCAAGGTTCCTCATCAGTGGGTTGCCGTCGTCGACAATTACTTAGTTGGACCTTCTAGTTTTAGTGTGTATTTTCTTTTTTAGGTCTTCTTGTCCAAAAAAAAAAAGGTTGGAAGAAAGTTTTCGTATCACTAGGCCAACAGAATGTTACAAGCAAACAATAAGGGTATTTACAGATGAGGATCAAATACAACAACGTCCCAATTGAGCCAAACAGAAGAACTACTCCAAAATCTAGTTTAACACAAGCTTTGTTTCTCTTCATCTTGGAAACAAAATTGACTTCATGCCTGATCAAAATTGAGCTCCCACAATTCTTAATTACAATGACAAAAGACGGTTAAAAAAAATAATATAAGATGAAGCGAAGATATGACATAGCTACAAAGTGTACGAGATTTGCATTTCAAGATCTTGTAATCCTCCATCCAAAAACCAAAGTCGCCGAATGACTAGTGAGTTATTTTTTCCATGGCTTTAAAGAGAGAACAATGATTAAAATGATGATGAGAAGTATAATTATGGCAAAGCAAGTCCATTTTCGAGTATTCTTCTGGTGTTTCCTAGCAGTATGCAGTTGCTCAGTTCCTCCCCTAACAAAGGAAGAAGCTCTACCAACATTAGCCTGGATGTCATCTAACTGCTCACCTTGATACTGAACCAACACTGCCATATCTAGAAATGTCTGGTGTAGTTCCATTAAGTTTCTTTCGATATCTTTGACAGCATCGTGCCTCTCTTGGATCTCAGCAATCGTATCTAGAATTTGTCCTCTGCCCTGCAGTTTCACAAGAACGACTTCATGCATCAGTTCAAATTGCTCCTTAATAAAAGATACAATTGCACTAAAGCAAATTCACATGACAGTTCACATTTCACACTATATAAATTATAGCATTCAGGGTATATATAACAAGATTGTATGGGACAAGGGCATTGGTGCATTGCTGTATGCATTGTGCCACTTAATCGATATCCTACAAAAACTATGTAACCAAATGTTTAAGCACTTAACATGAGATATATATTAACACTTCTGATGTTAGTGAGAAAAGGACCTAATTGAGGAGGAACTTTTTTTCAAAATTTACTTATATCTATTGTACAGGTTCACCCGATTAGCATAGAAATCGAACCAAATCAATGCAATTACTCCTTCCGTTTCATAGTGAACTCTGCATTTTTTGTCAGGCACTGAGATTAGTTGTAGTGACTGAGCATAGGAAAAGGCAATAATATGATTTCTATCTTGCAATTATAAGAACATGTGAAATTGGTTTGGGAACAATTCGAAATAGTAGATGAATGGAGTATCTTGTTTCACCTAAATTGCATTCTTCAAGTATAAACCTGAATGAATAAGAAGAACTGAAACTTAACAGAATTATAAACCACGTCTTGAATGGTAAATTCTACATTCCTAGCTATCCTCGGGAAAAGAGTTGACCTTCAACATTTGTGCAAATCAATACAGGAAAATCTAAATGACTCCCATTCAGTTCTCTAGTTAGAAATCCAAACAAAGTTATCAAAGATCTATAAAACTTTCATTTGAATATTTTATAGAAATTTACATTTTCTTGGAAGATTCAAATATGTAAACAAGAGCATTTAACTTAGATTAGTGTAAACTAGTAGATATTACACAAACTTTGAGTTATTGTATACTGTATTTGTATTAGCTCTTAAACTTTTTCTGGGAGTCTGAGTGTTGTCCGTAGCATCTGCTACAACACGACTCAATCGTATTGATTACTGCTTAGCCCTATTAATTTCAGTTACAGTACGTTAACTCTCGACCAATTACAACTATAATGACGAGTACCAAGGATCGTTAGAATGTCTCAATTTTACTACAGTTCTTCCACTCCATATTAATAATGTTAGAAAGTTTCTTCCTGAGTTTCCAGTGCCTACATCAAAAGGGAGATTCTATACTGCTTTTTTTACTTCTGGCTCTGAGAATCCTTCCAAACCAGTAGGCAAATTTGAAACATTCAAAATTCTAAGGTTTTGTCTTTTACGGACTTCTAACCACTACAAGAACCACTACCATACCAAAACTACTACGAAGTGCTTCCAACTTACCACGAATGATGTAACTATGTCTAACCTCAGCTACCTAAAAACTTTAAAAGATACGGAGTATTGCCAAAAAGACCCTATAATAATAAACCTCTACGGTCTCAGACTTTCAGATAAGTGCTACCAAGTTCATGTCACAGATAAGAAAATTTAGATAAAGGTCAGTATGTTCAGTACGGAAAATTCAAGAGAAAAGCATTAAAACTAAACATCAAAAAGTAAAATGGCCCTGTGACTCCATGAGAGTGAATCGAAGGGATGCTTCATTGTGCATACAGAGCTTGAACTAAACTGTGTACGGACTACTACGGAATAAATAAAATGAGTAATGTACATCATTCAACCACAAGTTTTACCTTACCAAATTCTTAATAAACATACTCCTTTGTCCTCAAATAATTGTCATGTAAACTATTTTAGTCAGTTTTTAAATAATTGCCCAGTCACTTTAAACATAATATTTCACTTATCCAACCAATCCATCCATAAGATGACGGCCCCACTACTAACTATCCCACTCTCCTGAGTCATCATTCTTTTTTTGGTTTTTTTTTTTTTAAGTTATGCCTGTAGGTTTTTGAGTTTCTAAAGTGTGTCTATGGTATTTCAAAATTACAAGTTGTGCCCTTCAACTTATATTGTTTATTCAATCGTATCCTCACACGTTAACTCGATGTTAGTAATTTCAAAAACATTGGAAGTAATAAAAAACGGATGAGAAAAAAGAAAAAAAAAATTACACTGTGAGCTTGAAATATCAAAAATTGCTTTTAGAAGAAAGAAGAAAAGATGTGAAAATGTGGAAAAAATGCTTAATGCTAATCCCCTTACTTAAAATTTAACCCAATTTAGGCGTGAAATTTCTCTCTAAAACGGGATAATTAACACTTAACACAATTACTCACGTTTGTGTTAACGTTAGAGGGTACCATTAAATAAACACATTAAGTTGGAGGCACATTTTGAAAAAGCATGAGCACACCTTAGAAACTTTACGAGGTATATATTTCATGTGATGTAAAGCCCTTTACTAACTCTTTCCCCTTAATTAAATTTTACTCCATGTATTCTTTATTTTCCAAAAACTTACATAGAAGATATATTTATCAATGGAAAAATTGTCCATAATAATCCAACCTTTGCCTCATCCGCCCAAAATAATCCCACCTTTCGATTATTTTTTAATAATCCGACCTTTATTATCAATCTGCTTCTAATGGTCCCAGGTGACCTGTAACCGGTTAACTAGGTAATTTTTTTTAAATAAAGGTTAATTTACACGTGTTACAACGTGGTTGGTAAATAATAAGTTTTAATTTTATTTTTTTTACAGAAATGGTTATTTAACATTAATTAATTATTTTAAACTAACTTTTGTAAAAATAATATAAAAAGAAAAAAAACAATTTGAGAACCACCTCCTCAACACCACCATCGGCCCAAACTAGGCCATTCGCCGCCCGCCCTGCCGCGTTCACACCCTAGCCCCACCGCGTCCTCACCCCAACTCCTCCGCGCTGGTCGTTGTCCATTCCCTAACCCCTTCCGTTGCCTTAAAACCACCACCCTTATTACCGAAATGGCGAAACAACGGGCCAGAATTAAGGCGTGGGAGTGGGAGGAGACCGAAATCAAGGCGTGGGAATGAGAGGATGGCCAAAATCGAGAAGTGGGAAAGGGAAGGGGCCGGAAAAGGGACGGGATCGGGAGTGGGAGAAGAAAGGGGCCAGAAAAGAGGCATGGGGTTTTTCGAGGGTAGGGAGGTCGGGATCGGGACGGCGAAGGAGTTTTTCGAGGGTTGGGCTGGTGGAGGTAAGTCGACGGTTCAGGAAAAAGGAGGCATGGTGGTCGGAGCGGCGCTCCAGTGCTAGGGGGAAGGCAGTGGGTTGAGTTGGTGGAGGTGGCGGCCATGGAGGGTGGTTGGACGATGATGGGGTTGTTTTTTTTATCTAATTAAATCAAAATTATTTTTATTTTTTCTTTTAAAAAAATATTTATTTTTTATTTTTTTGACCAATCAAATACCGAAACGTGTTATATGACTTGTTACAACAAGTTAAGTGACCGGTTGGGACCATTTAAAGCTGATTGATATTAAAGGTCGGATTATTTAAAAATAATCAAAAGGTGGGATTATTTTGGGCGAATGGGGCAAAGGTCGGATTATTGATGGCAATTTTTCCTTTATGAATTATCTATAATATTATTAAAATTCATGGGGACAACATGCTAACGACATGTGTCACTCATATGCCACATATGCACTACATGTCATCCTATATTCCTATTGTCATCCCTTTTCTCTCACCATATTGAATTGTATTAATGTTTAATTTTTTTTAACAAAAACTCTTCATTAGTCTAATTTTAATGCTATATAATATTTTTTTTGAGGGGATGCTATATAATATAATAGTGTTTAATTTGATTGAAAAACTTTTCATATTGACCTCTTATTACATTTTCATTTAGTTATTAATATTGTTCAATATTAATTCTTCTAAATTAATTTAATCAAACCTATAATATATGATAATATGGGGCATCGCCCGGGTCAATAACTAATTTTCACTTAAAATGTGTGCAGTGTGCCAAAACCTAAGAGCTCAATAGTTTAATGGAGGATGGATGGATTATTAAACACCTACAATTAAGACGATGGGTGGATGGAAGTCTAGATATTACTCCGTATTATCTAATAACAAAAAAATCCATTCCCCTTGTAAACTACATTCATGGACAAAATAATACAGAGTAGGCGGCAATTAATATTTGGATCAATCTATATACTATTATCATTCTCTCCGTCTTACGACTAGTGTGTAGTCCAGACGTTGCATTAGATTGTTACCTTAATTATTCCTTTGATTATATGTACTAGCATATCATATCATCACTAATATATAAAGCTGAACTTTTAGCCAATATGAGACATTAACACTTGACGTCCCAATTTTTCGCCAAGTGTCACACCACGCGATAATTAATAACTAAAATTACATGTAGGATTTATTAGAATATATTTTTTATGGAATACGATAAAAAAAAAAAAAAAAAAAAAAAAGTTGGATAGATTCAATAGGATAAAAAAGTAATTTTAGAGTTTTATTTTTAATAAAATTTGGATAAATTAGTACATACAAAAGTTATTTTAATTTAGAGTTTTGTATCAATAAAACTTTTGGTTTAAATTAGAATTTTATTTTCAATAAAATACCAATATTATACATATAATCATTCAATTAATTCTTAACATGCAACCGAACTTTTCTTAGATATTCGGAGAAAATGAAAAGAGATCACAACTTTAGTCTTTAGATGACCGTTGTTTTTTGGTTGTACATTATTGATAGCCATAAACGGACAAGTGATTATTAATCCATGAGTAGAATATTCAAATACCAAATGTATTTTTGATTAAAAAAAAAAAATAGTTTAAAATTCTATAAAGTATAAATAATTCGGGCATCACACGGGGCACACAACTAGTTTATAATATGGTGGATAATTGGCTTAAATGGTTAAATAGTCATGTTTCTTAGAAGATGTTGGGACGTTTCTAAGAATGCCTATGGGTTAAGTGTCATATGATCAATTTTCATCACTCACCTTTGTAGCTCTCTAAACACCAAAAAAAATAGATATCTAGTAATTCAACCAAACACCGACTCTTACTTTCTCTAAGTAAGATTCTATTAAAAGCTTGTTCATAATCTTAAAAGACATTTTATATGTAACGAAAGAATACTACATTCACGCTGTCAAAAAAAAGAATACTACATTCTCAATATTAATTCATTCATTTTTAATCCTGCTTTGATGACACTCACAAGAAAAATAGCTCATATAAGTTCAAATATCAGTAATTGTACACAAATTTCAAAGATAATGAATCACGTAGAGATACCTTGAATGAATAATTAGAGAAAGTGATTAACAACTACAAGTCAAAGAAATTCACATGTCCACATTGATCCAGAAATAAATTATTCTACATAAAATATTCATATCTACCACATGATCAATCATTCATCCCAATTATCAAATCTCCCTATTCATATTATTCATCAAAATCACAACCTTTCACCACAAAACTAATTTAAAAAACAATACATAAACAAAAAAAAAACAAAATTAAAAATAAGAAAAAACAAACCTGTTGTTGAATAGCCTTTTGCAGAAAATTCTCACTTTCACCAGTACTAATCAACAAATCAACAGTCTTTTCATCAGGATTTTCACCAGTAACAGTAAAAAACCTTCTTTCAACAGTCTCCCTATATTCCCCACTAATCTTCTCCCTTAACTCCTGAAATTCATCCATTTTCTCCTTCAATTTCTTCCTTAACCCATTAACAACCGAAGTCCTCGTCCGGTCCGCTGAACTCCCCGGTCCACACCCGGCTATACTCCGGTTCGCAGCATTAGACCGGTCCAACGCTTCCAACCTTACTTTGATCATTTTAGCCTTCTTCAATGCAACCCCAACATCGCGGTCCATTCTAGACCGGAGGTCTTTAACTGAACCGGCAGTGTGGGCCGTTTTGGTTTCTTCATGGGATGATCTTAGTTTTTTATGGACTTCTTCAATCTCCTTTAAATCATCTTTGATAGTCTCGACGTCGTCGAAGAACTTGTCGAGGTTTACGCCTGGGTTAGGGGTGGGAGAACCCATCTCTAAGTCACCCGGGTTTTCTCTGAACCGGGAGAATGAGCTTGTAATAAGATTGTTCATTTTTTTTATGGATTATTTTTTGGTTTTGGGTTTTTTGTGGAGTTTGATTTGTAAATGGAGATGAATTTAAATGTAAAAGTGGAGTTGGATTTGGTTGATTAGTTGAATTGTCAAAGTTGGAGGTACAGAAAAAGAAGATGGATGAAGGAGTATGTAATACTAGTTCAAGAGGATGAAGTCAATGGGAAGGAGAAGACTTTGACTAAATTGGGGAGTTTGGATTATAATAATACAAGCAGAGACGATTGATGTATGGTTTTGGCTGCCAATTGGAGTTACTCCGTATTTGCTAGATGCGGTTGCAGAACTAGTACTACTAAAAGATGGGAAAGGGAAGAACCGATGAAGCATCTAGGAAAGTGACGTCTAGCCGTAAAGCTTGGGGTAATATCGTAAGGCTACCGCTTAGGTATGAGGAATTCTTGGACTCTTAACCGATATAAAGTCATAAATGATTCTACGGCTATTTCACCAAATGTCACTGAGTACTTAAAAATTCATCAAATGTCATCGGGTTTTTCAAAATTCACCAAATGCCACTGACAAACATTATATTATCAAGACGTGCCATTAATGAGGTATGGCCGTTAACTATCCGTTACAATAATTCTTAATTCACCAAATGTCACTGAATACTTTTGATTTTTCATAAAATGACATTATTTATATAAATTATTACACAATATACCTATGACTTAATGAGTTATAACGCCTAGTTAATTAGTTTCACCTTTTTTGAATTTTTTTGGGGTAAAATAGCCGTTACACCCAATTTGTTGTATAAATTTGAATGCACAGCTAAATTGTTATGCCATTCTAGTTTTTAAATATTAGAAGTCAACAGTGTTGAATAATTTAGAGTATTTGAGACAAATTGCATGGTATTTAATTATTTGCTTATAAAATGGTACTACAATTAATTAAACTAGTAATAAGAGCAAATAAAGGATTAGTAAACTCCATTAACGCAATTCGATCGAACGCGAGATGAGGGTAAAACTCATTGAATTACCACCCGATCAGGTTATCACCACTTGACCGGGCGCGTATGCGAGGTTGAGAAAATCTGCTCCGTCACTCGATCACTCTAAATTATTCAACACTGTGGACTTCTAATGTTCAAAAACTATAATGACATAGCAATTTAGTTGTGCATTCAAATTTATACAACAAATTGGGTGTAACGACTATTTTACCCCAAAAAAAAATTCAAAAAAGGTGAAATTAACTAGCCTTATAACTCATTAGGTCATAGGTATATTGTGTAATAATTTATATAAAAAAAAAATCAAAAATAGTCAGTGGCATTTGGTGAATTAAGAATTATAGTAACGGATAGTTAACGGCCATACCTCAATAATGGCACGCCATGACAATATAATGTTTGTCAGTGGCATTTGGTGAATTTTGAAAAACCCGATGTCATTTGGTGAATTTTTAAAGTATTCAGTGGCATTTGGTGAAATAGCCGATGATTCTAATAAGGGCATAATGTGCATTTACATTTACTGTACTTGAAAAAATGATGTCATAACACATGGTATTTCTGTATTTCATTGTACTTTCAATAGTATCACTATCATACCAACCACCTTATTTAGTGATACCGACAAAAGTAAAAATGTTATGTTGGTATTGATATAATTTGTTGACTTGTTGGTATCATGTGAAATACCAACGTGTGATGTTATGATTTGTTGACTTGTTCGTATCATGTGAAATACCAACGTGTGTTGTTATAACTCTAACAGTTAGAGTCCAAGAATTCCTCGCTTAGTATTGGTACATACTTCGTAAGGAATATTACATAACCTTGCGGGGGTGCGGTATGAACCAATACATACTATCTAGGTTTAGTTTATGAGTTTATTTGTGTAATATTTCGTGCTCTATAGTACTTTGATTTTTTAATTTGACCAAACTTAAAGTTAAAATATAAAATTTTCAATTTCACAAAATTTTAAATGAGATGTAATTAGATACTTTTTAATATAAAATTTTCAAATATAAAGTTTACATAGTTTGTAAGTTATGAAACTGAAAAAATTCAAAGATAATTAAAGGCAAATCAAAAGATAACATATGATTTAATCTAATATATATAAATAAAGTAGGCACTTTTGGAGAGTATTTGGAGCACCATGTAAATAAAGGTATTATTTTAACCAATAAGAAATTAGATTTCTATTTTATTTTAGAATTAAAAAATTCACTCGCTAGCTAGATAAAAGTTAGATAAAAGTGACGAATTAGATTTGACATATCTCTGATTTTAATGCCACGTAGATTAAAATCAACAAATCAAATTATTTTCATGGAAAAAAAATAAAAATTCAATTATATAGATAAATTACATGTACACCAAAAATATAAATAAATAAATAAATGAAATAAAAACTCACAATTCAATCCCCAAAACCCACTACGTATGAATAAAATAAAATATAGATATAAATATTAATAATAATACACTACGTATGAATGTTGGTACTTGATGGTTGTATATTCAAATAATCTAATCTAATATATATATTTATAAAGGTGAGTTTTTTTCCTGAGTTTTTAGAGAGCCACGTTATAACACCCCAATAATTCTCTCTTAAAAACCTGTGAGAAACCTGTATATAACCTGAACAATTTCAAGAGAATTACTGGTGTGCTACCGCCACGTGTTCAAACGTTAAGGCTATCTCAGAAATTAGCAGCGGAAAACCAAAACAGTTTTAAATAAACCTCAAAACAAAGGAATTAAATCAAAATAAGTATTACAAGTTGGAACCATTAAGGCCCTTATTCAAAACCTAATAAAAGTAGTAAGTGATTAAATTCAGAGTCCTAATAACTTCAAACTCAAAAGAATTAGTGTCATCTAAAAACAAATTAAATTAAATTCCAACTTTGCAAAATAAATAATATGGAAACAACCAACTCTCCACTCAAGATCCCACAACCCTGATGAATGCTGCATGTGTAAGAACCTGCGGTTATTCTGCTCCCCAATATTACAAGTGTAAAAATTGGATCGTCACAGAGTCATTGAAAGGCGAAGGCCATGACCAAAGAGAGACACACACAAAAGCACGCAGTCAGCAAAGCTGAGTACATACAAGCTGCGAAAACGAATTGAGAAAATACCTAACATGCTACTAGTATTCAAGCACAAGCATCATTAAATATAGACTCAATTCACGACTCGATTCACAAATTTATTAAGACCTCACTATTTAATATTAACTGACTCGTTTATTTATTTCATTGGATTTAGCAATAGACAAGGTTGTCCAACCCATGTCCCATTTGGAACATCAATAAAGAAAAACCCCATGCCTCCTTTCGGAAACATCAATAAACATCCAACGACCACGGGCGCGACTCCGTGACCGTAGTTAGTATGAGATCTCACCTAACTCCTAGTTTTAGAAAAAAATAATATTTGAAAGAAGAGACTCGTAGATCAGACGGCCTCGAGAAAAGTACACGGTTAATACCCCATGTACCCCAACCCCTGATTGTCATTACTCCAGAAGTGCACCAATCCAGAGTTTTATTGCTCATCCATCTTGCACTTTACGTGATTTACAGGTTTAAACTTGGTGATGACTCATGCATAACAATACAATCAATCCAATATCAATTCAATCAAGTAAAACAACTTTTCAATTTCAATTCTTGATTTATTAGTGGCAAGCAACATTTATTATTTATTCCATTACTACCTCGGTGTATAAACACCTTGAGTGCATAAGGCACCCCAAAACCTTAACCTCGTCTTACAAGACTTGAATTCCTCCTTTACTCATCCTGTTTACATAATCCTGAATGAGTAATAATTTGATCTTTACACCAATCACATACCTTTGCCTTTAAGCGCACCTTGCATAAATAAAGCACAAATAATACTTGCATTATAAACTAGTGCACATCATTTGAAATTCACAATGTATAACCAGACAATTTAACCCAGTCAATCCTATACATGATACTAAGTTCTCGATCCATCCTTAAACATGCACCTACAAGCAAGGTTTCGTATCTTGTACGTACCTTGTATAAACAATCCGGTTGGCCACTTTAAAACTAGAAGTCGCCTTCTACAAAGTCCTCTCCTAAACCAAACAATTAGGAATAAATCAATACCAAAGCAATTTAAATTACAGCAATACTAAACTACTTTAAAACCTCTTAAATTACCAAAACAAGGTCTTTAGATTGTCCCCAAAAATCAAAGTTAGTAATATAACATCCCAACTTTAAGTTTACATGTTAGAATTATGAAAATATAGTGTTTTATATCAAATTACAACAACTTTAAAGTAGGTAATTAAATCTGGAATTTTGTTTTAAATATATAAAATAACCCCATAAGCATAATTACTTGAAATAGTCATTATATAGCAAGTTAGTGTGTTAAAAACCCAAGAATATATCAATTCAATGCAATTAGAGGCTTCAAAATAAAAGGTATAAAATCTGAAAATTATTTTTAAAGTTAGAATATCAAGTTCAAAGCTTTTTTAATCACAAAATACTCACAATAATTATTTTATAGGTTTAGAAGCCTAAAAACATGAAATTAACACTACTTGTTCATAAAGATTGAAACTTTAATAAATCTGAAAATTAATATACAACCAAAATAATCATACTTTGACATACTTTGAACATAGAATAATTAAGTAATTTGTTTAGTACGTTATTAAGCCTTAAAACATGAAAAATCAACACTTTAAACCCTAAATTTATACATACCCAAATCTGAAAATTAATATAATACTTTAAACATGTTAAAACCCATAAATTTATAATCTTTTGTAATTTATACATACTATTAAAGCCTAATAACAATAATTTTATAATTGAAATCAAATAAAACTTGAATCTTTAAATCAAAATAACAAGAATAAAGGAAGAGAAATAAGAGGAAGGAGAAGAGAGGAAGGCGAACTGCAGGGAGGGAGGGAGGCTGCTGGGCGGCGCGGCGGTGCTGGCAGCGGTGTGGTGTTTTTTTTTTTTTTTTTCTTCTCTAAATGTCGTGAAGGAGGATGAAGAGAGTGAGGGTTTTCCCTTTTTTTTTCTTTTATCACCCGTGAAAGAGGAGTAGAGAAGTTAAGGTGGGTTTTTTTTTTTTTTTTTTTTTTATAAAAGTTGGGCCTAAATTCCTAACCCAAATAGAATTAGGAGTAGGAACTTGCAATTTGGGTTTGAATAAGAGGAATTAAGTGTTTGGGCTAATCACAACTTAGTAGTTTTAGTTTGAAAATAATTAAGATCTTAATACTTTACCTCAAATAAAATTCATACTTATAAAATAAGAAAAATATAAAAGTATTTGTAAAATAAATACTAAATAAATACATTATTATTAAATTAAAAATATGGGGGATTACACACGTAGCATTTAATTTTTTCATTGCGCCATGTAGGAATATAAATTTTAGTGGTAGCCAATTAAATAAGAGATTATTAATTTATTTTAGAATTAATTAATTCAAATGCCACGTAAGCAAAATTGACGAATGATATTTTTAAGTTTAAATTAATTTAATATAAATATTATCCTTTGATATTAGAAATTTTATCCAAATATGTAACAAATCTAATATATATATATAAAGGGGAGTTTTTTTCATGAGTTTTTAGAGAGCCACGTAGGATTTAGTTTTTTCAATGCACCACGTAGGAATATAATCCCTCCGTCCCATAATTACAGGCAAATATACTATTTTGGGCGTCCCAAAATGTTCCTCCTATTACTTAAAATAACACCTAATCATTACTTACTTTTTAGCTTTTCCATACAAATTACACACATACCTAAAAAATCATTACTTATTTTTTCTCTTTTTCATACAAAGTACACACATACCCAAACAATCATTACTTACTTTTTAAATTTTCTATACAATATTATCTACTTTTTATTATCCCCATACAACATTTTTCACTTTTTATCTTTTTTCATACTATATTCCTTTACTTTTTCCATCCTCCTTAAAAACCGTACTTTTTAGAGTTATTTGTTTGTAATTATGAGACGGAGGGAGTAAATTTTAGTGGTAGCCAATTAAATAAGAGATTATTAATTTCTTTTAGAATTAATTAATTCAAATGCCATGTAAGCAAAATTGACGAATGATATTTTTAAGTTTAAATTAATTAAATATAAATATTATCTTTTGATATCAGAAATTTTATCCAAATATGTAACAAATTATCACATAAATACAAGAAAAAAAATTAAAAAAATTCAAACAAACCGTGCATCGCACGGGCTTCATCTAGTTATTTCTAAAGTAAGTTGTTATCAACAAAGTTGAACTGGACACGATTTTTTACATTGGCATTTGGTGCTCTCTTCTCTTTTTTTTTCCCCGATGGCGGGCTGGGAAAGAAGGGGGTCGTTTCCAGCGAGGGGGAAGGAAGGGTGGTTGTTTTTGGGGTGGGGCTGGGTCGGTCATCCTTTGATCGAGGAAGGGCGGCTGACTGGTTTTCGATGGGGCTGGGGGTTAGGATAGGGTGTACGGTGGGGGAAGAGGAGAGGGTAGTGGCTGATAAGGTTTTATTTTTTAATTTTTGGGTTTTTCTAAGTTATGCCCCCAAACTTCTTCGTTTTTTAAGTTGTGTCTATACTTTTTCAAACGTCTAAGCTGTGCCCTCAACCTCACTAATTTTTATTAACAATAACCTTTGAGATTAACAATAAGCTTTTTTATTATTTTATTTTATGATATTTTATTTTATTTTATTTAAGTGTTAAACCAATTAGAATGGGATATGTGTCAAATAAATAACGTCATGACACCATTGTCGATAAAATAACTTAACTTTCATTAACAGATATGACTGTCAAAGGGTATTGTTGATAAAATATCGTGAAGTGGAGGGCACAACTTATAACTTTGAAAAAGCATGGGTACATCTTAGAAATTCAATTACTTGGGGGGGATAGCTTAGAAAAACCCTAAAAAAAATTTATTTTGGACCAATCGTGTGTTGACAAGTGTCATACTTACCTGTTATAATAGGTTGTTGACTCGTTGATCGGTTGGGCCTCTTGGAAGACCACTATCAGCAGTGAGGAAAAAAAAAACCTCTCAATCTCTCTCTACCCACTTTCTCACTCCTCCCATACAATTTCTCTCATCAAATGTTTTTTTCACTACATCAATGAGGAGAAAAAAAAACCTCTCATCACTTTTTCCTCCACTATTTACTATACCCCACCATAATACACATCATCTTTTTATTTTATCTTTATTTTGAAATAATGTTTATACTACATATTTAATTTTCCAATACAATTAAAATATGTGAAAATAATTTATTTTTTAATTACATTTAAAAATAATTTAATAAAAATGTATAATTTAATAACAATTTATAAGTTTTATATTTACTTTTCAATTACGTTTAAAAATAATATAATAAAAATTTATAATTTTTATATTTATTTTTCAATTACGTTTCAATTATAACTTAATAAGATTGTTTTTTATTTGTCAATTACGTTTTAATTATAATTAATAATTTTTTTTTATTTTTCAATTACGTTTTATTTATAATTTAACATTTGAATTAGTAGCACATTTTTGTAATGAACACATTAAATAGTCACATGGGAACTTCAATAACGGTAATACAAACACATGGGATGTTAAATAACGGTACAAGTACGAACTAGATAAAAGTGGTTCTACTAAAATAAAATACAAACACGAGTATTAAAACATAAATAACGATACGGTTACAAATAACAAACTAAAAAATTATTTATTCAACCGCATTATGACGAAAGTTCTGCCATATGTGCTCCACTAAATCTTGTTTCAGAGATGAATGAATTTCTCTATCACGAAGGGAAATCCTTCTCTCCAAATACGTGTTGAAATCAATGTTGGGTGGTCGCCCGACGTTGAATTCAAATGGCTCGTTGTTAAACACCGTGGCACTTGTGCTCGGGTCTGCCCGCCTCACCGTACGTTGTGGTCGATCTTCTTCGTAGTATCGTCTCAAAACATCTGCACGTGCGTAGTTGTGTCGTTCATCCTCGACGATCATGTTGTGCATTATTATACAGGCTTTCATAATATCACAGAGAATATCTTCGTCGTATGCAAGTGCTGGTTGTCGTAGTATAGCGAACCTAGCTTGTAAAACTCCGAAAGCCCGTTCGACGTCTTTCCGAACTGCTGCTTGTTGATCAGCAAACAACTTGTCTTTTCTAACATGAGGATGTGTTATACCCTGTATAAAAGTTGGCCATCTCGGGTAAATCCCATCGGCCAAGTAGTAGCCCAACTCATATTGATGTCCATTAACCGTAAAATTTATGGGTGGTGCATGACCTTGTAAAACATCATCAAATACCGGTGAACGGTAAAGGACATTCAAATCGTTACATGACCCAGGCATTCCAAAGAACGCATGCCAAATCCATAGATCCTGATCAGCAACAGCTTCAAGAATGAGAGTTGCACTCTTGCTACGACCAGCATATTGTGCCCTCCAAGCAGTAGGACAATTCTTCCACTCCCAATGCATGCAGTCTATACTACCAATCATCCCTGGAAAACCACGCAGATCATTTTGATGAAGGATTCTCCTTAAATCTTCATCTGTAGGTTTTCGTAGATATTCACTTTCAAATTGTGAAATAACCCCTTGACAGAAATGTTGCAATGCCTGCCTAGAGGTTGTTTGGCCGAGACGTAAATATTCATCCACAGCGTCTGCGGCTACGCCATACGCTAACATTCTTATTGCAGCGGTGCATTTCTGCAACGGTGATAAACCAAGCTTCCCAGCTGCATTTCGACGTTGCTGGAAGAATTGATCCCCCTCAACCACTTTGCTCATAATGCGGAAGAACAATGACCGTTGCATACGGAATCTACGTCGGAATTGGTTGTCGTTATACACTGGATTATTCGCGAAATAATCGTTGTATAGTTGCACATGCCCTTTTTCTCTTTCCCTATCCCTTTTGGGCTCCGTTGATAGTTCAGTTTCATTATTTAGTGGAGGTTCTTGTGGTTGGTCTGGAGGAAGTAATCTATGAGGTAGGTGATTTGCTACATACTCATCAACTAAGCAATCAAATTCATGATTTTTGGAGAAATCATCAGAAGAGGAGCTTGAGGTGGAAGAAATGAAAGACATTTTTATTTTGGTTAGGTAGTTGGTGTGTTTGGGATTGTTTCCGTTTATAATAACACAGGTATATATAGAAAATGTGAAAGTCATTATTGGATGGTAGTGGTAAGTTTGCATGTGAGTTAAAGTGGAATTGAAATTGCATGTGACTCGAGGTGACAATTCAATGCATTATTTTAGCATGTGATTGTGCAGTGTTATTGATGTTTGAGAAGAGGTGACAATTCAGTGCATTACTTTAGCATGTGATTGTGCAGTGTTATTGATGTTTGAGCAGAGGTGACATGTGACGCGTGTCAGATTGTATCTTTATCAGATATCAGCTTTATCAATTTCAAATTACTAAGAAAACATGTGAATTAACTGAATATTAATAATAAATTTAACATTACATAAACATAAATTTAACATAAACTAAATAAACACTAGTACATTAAATTAACTGAATAAAACATAAAGTTAACATTAACTAAATAAAACATAAGCCAAATCTCCAAGTCACACGTGCCTTTTACCATATAGCATTGCACGTAATTCCTCCTTGTAGGCCTCTTCATCGGGAGTTAGATCAGTACCCTTTGAAAGTAGATCTTGCAGCATTTCATAGTTCAGCCTTCTCTCTTGTATGTCAACTTGTTTTTGTTGAATTTAGACTTGTTTTTGTTTCCTCCTCTCCCTTTCCATGTCAAAATCCAACTTCTTCAACCGTATTTGTGCCTCTGTTTCCCTACAGGCATTATTCTGCTTCATTTTCTCACCAATGGTTGAAGAATCAGAAGCCACTTCTTTTCCCTTATTACGCTTGGCCTTTGCCTTTTTAACACCATCGGGTCGAGGAAGACCTCCAGAACAGAAACCCGTGGATGGTGTATCACCTTCCTCTACGGTTCTACATCGCTTATCACTGCCACTACTATCATCTTCGACGGCATCACCTACAGCTAATCTTTCCTCTCTTGACAACGCCCACCTAAGTTTTGTCCTCCACTTTGGGTCATTTTTAACCATTTCCCAACCATGGTGACAATTAAAATTATGTTGAGTAGGCTTGGAGGAAGCATATAATAACTTACTGGCGTTATTAATTCGATCTGCTTCGTTGTAGCCACTTCCTGTAACCCTTCCTGCTTCGTCATAGCAGCTACTCCATTGTATTAAATCAGCTGCCATCCTTTTCCAACGACTTTCCAAACTCCTCAAAGGTCTTGGTGGTAGAATGTGAGGTTTCTCAGCCTGCGCTTCATCATATGCCGCTGAAATTTTTCTCCAAAGCACAAATGCTTTTTGGTTTGTACCAACAATTGCATCTTCACTGAATTGCAGATACAAACCAATAAGAGTTTCATCCTCCGCAACAGACCACATTCGACTCCCTTTTGTAAGTGGTTGGTTTTGATTGACAGACACTCTTGGAGGAGGTGGAGGGTATTGTGGAGTATCTGGAACACTTTCTTCCATTTCATCTTCATATTGAGAATTGCTCCCTTGATAAACAGGAGGTGAATGTGGTGGTGGAAATTGAGGAGGTGTTTGTTGTGGTGGAAATTGAGGAGGTGTTTGTTGCGGTGGATATTGAGTAGCTATTCGTTGAAGGAAGGTTTGAAATCGAGGGTTAGTGACAAAATCATCACCCAAATCAGAAAAATAATTAGAAAAATCTGGTTTGTTAGGATCCATTAGCAAAATAATAATAATAATAATAATAATAATGATAATAATAATAATAATAATGATAATAATAATAATAATAACAATAATAATAATAATAATAATAATAATAATAATAATAATACTACTTTTTTTGACAATATAATAATACGATTTTTTTCAAGGATTAATAAATTTAACAGAAATAATAATAAAGAAATTAATAATAATAATAATAATAATAATAATAATAATAATAATTATAAGAATACCAATAAAACTACTACTTTTTTTAAATTAACACTACTACTACTACTACTACTACTAGTAATAATAATAATAATTATAATAATAATAAAAATAATAATAATAATAATAATAATAATAATAATAATACTAAATAATAACTGAGGTTTTTTTTTTACGAATAATAATAATAATAAAAATGATGAAAATAACTCAAAGAAATTGGGAAAAGAAGGAAATTTGTAGTATTTATAGGTTTTTTGAAAGTATATCAAAATATATCAAAATGCATGTCTATTTATAGAGAAAAAAAAAATCTATCCGTTAGTGAATTTTGTTTTTTTTTTTTTATAATTACAACGGTTATATTTACCTTACAAAAATATAACCGTTGTAATAAAAGCAAAAAAATCTGATTGGTTGGAAGGATAAAGCCCTGTCGCATCCCCATTGGCTGGGTCTGACGCGCGTCAGGCCAGCTGCCCCCTATTTTTTTTCCCTTTTTGCCCCTCAAAACGGCGTCGTTTCGCCCTTCTTTAAGGCAAAACGACGTCGTTTTGCAAGCCAGAAGGGAAAAAAAAGGGAAAGACGCGTGTACGAGTGGGGCCCACTTGTTACTGCTCACGAGTATTTCCCCTCAACTCTTGTGCGTTTTCCATAGCTCTCAACGGTGAGGGTTTTTTCCCTCACTAACGTAATGCTCGGGTATTTTTTTTACACCCTTATTTTTACTCGTGAGGGCTTTTCTCCTCACTGCTGGGAGTGCTCGAAGAATATGCATATCAAAGGTTGAATTATCGCTTCATCCATGTTTTTTTTAAGACAAATCTCTCTGTGTTTTACTAAACACAACACTTTTTATTTTGGCAAAAAGTTACATTCTAATAATTTTTTTTACATAAAATTGATTCATAAATAAAGTCATACGACATTTACGAAGAGATTTAGATCTAATGAATACATAATAATTGAATCAAATAAAAACATTTCGTAAGCAAAGCTACGATCATTGTTGCAAATCGTACATTCTTCATACCCTCTTTCATATCGCTGTGATTTACAACCTTCATCGGCGAGGGGGTCTATCGATCTGTTGTAGCCGTGCAGGAAATTTTCGTCTGATTCGCTAGATTGTAATTGAAATATTAACCTCTTTTTCGATCCCACACAAAATTTTACCCATGAAACAACTCTATAGCAATCCATAAAATAAAAAAATCAATTCCTCCCTCAAAAGAGAGAAGAGAAACTCGGTCTTTCGAAAGAGCCAAATCCTCCTAAAGAAGAAGAAAAACCCTGTCTTTCGAGGGAGAAATATTCCTCCTAGAAGAGGAAGAATTATTATAAACCTAAAACAATAGAAAAAGCACACAAAAACAAACAATTGGGGCTTTTCACCTATAAAAATCGATGGAAACCCCTCCAAAAAGTCAACAATGGAGGCTAGGGTTTTAAAGAGAGAAGAGAGGAAAGAAAGGCTAGATTTTTATTATTATTATTATTATTATTATTATTATTATTATTATTATTATATCTCAAAACACAAAAGTCATACAACCTACAATAAATTAATGGGAAGCCGAGATACAATCTGGGCCCCCACTCCTCTAGATATAGCAAATCCTACCCTAGTGAAGATATGAGCTGCAGCACGAGCCCCAATGTCTTGCGTCGTCGAGAACCTCTGAATCCGCTTCAGTAACGCAACAGCCTCCTTCTCTAATTCCCCAAGCGAAGAAAAGGAGAAGGGAATGAAACCATATCCAATCGCCTGACATCGAGCTTCATACTTAACCCGCTTCCGATGAGCAGCATCAGCCACAACCCGCCCAGGAATAAAGTCAGATAGCCCTGACTGTGTCAAAGGAGAAGACCCTGTCAAATCAACACAGACATCGCGACCACGATCCCATGAATAAAGTAACACATCCGCAGGTCTGAGGGCCTCGTCGTTCCCTCCAGCCAACCCAATGTCAACCTCCTTTCTCGTTGAAATCCCAGAACGATAGCAAACATCAACAAGGGTATCCCGAACAACATTATGTCGATGTTTAATACCCACAATACCAGCACAAGACACCGCGTGATCACCGAAAATATCTCCAGCAAAAACCCTCGAACAAGCAGAGCACGACGTCGAGACAGAGAATAATGGAACACCCAACCGATAGGACAACACAAAACGATAAGTCTTAGCGTTCATCGTCGGACCCAACCCCGAAATAGGAACCGCCCGAAGCCAAGCTGAGGTGTGATCACCCTGCTGTGATTTCCATAATGCTGATTGTCGAGGAGTTAAAGAATAAGCAGATTCTGCAGAAGCGGTAATCTTTGTGAAATACATATCTGCCCATTTCTTCATGAGTTTAGGGGCAGCGACCTCACTAGGATTACTCAAAATGTCACTAGAATTATTATTATTATTATTATTATTATTATTATTTTATTTATTATTATTATTATTATTATTATTATTATTATTATTATTATTATTATTATTATTATTATTATTATTATTATTATTATTATTATTATTATTTATTATTATTATTATTCCTTCCCTCTTAGTACATTCTAATTATATAGTTTCTCCTTTCATTATTTCTATCCTCTCACAGTCTCACATTCATTTCTTTTCAATAAAACATTAACCTCACTACAATATATTTCTCTTACAATATTTTAATACTCTAACTATCCCACTTATATAAACACACTTTTTTTTTGGTGTAAGAGAATCGAGATAACAAGTGATGTACACGCAATTTGATCTCAAATTTGAACTTCTACGTTCAAGAATTTAACCAACTAAACTAATTGATCATCGACATTTATATATTTTTTGACATGTATATGTCATATGAAGTAAACAAACTTTATTCCCTCAAAAAAAAAAAAAGAGTAAATGTCATATGAAGTAAACAAACTTTATTCCCTCAAACAAAAAAAAAAAACAAACTTTAATCTCATATGATCATGTGATTATGGACTATGTAATATATGAATACGGAGTATATGATACCTCCCTCAAATGGACTAAGGAATCAAATACCGCCTATATTACTTACTACCCAAATAATCCAATGTACATGTCTCTAATCCATTTCCATAAATGAGAGTATATTCTCCACATCACTTTACAGTCAGCAGTCCCACCACCCAAATCAAATGAATAAAGAAACAATTAAAGCAATCTCTTCAAAATCTATTATTCTTTTTGTAAACACCCCATGAATTGTTGCTTTCTTAATTTTCATTCTACAATTTGTATGGATATTTAATTTAATTTAAACGTCTCTCTATAAAATCATTACAACTTTCGCACAAACTCCACTCCAATTCAATTAAAAGCGTGATTCTCAAAGCTGCCATCTTTCTATAGAAGATGGCTTTACAAAGAATTTTGAGGGAGAAATGCTTGCAAAAATGCAGAAATCAGTACTCTCTCTCCTCGGGATTCGCCACTCTTTCTACTTCTTCTTCTTCATCATTGGAACCTCCAAAAATCCCTGAATTTGATTACCAACCTAAGCCTTATACAGGGCAATTAGCTGATGAAGTTTTTCAGAAGCGCAAAAAATATCTGGGTCCTTCTCTTTTTCACTATTATCAAAAGCCAGTAAGAATTTAAATACCCTTTAATCTTTCCTTCATTTTTGTTTTGGTTTTATGGGTTTTAAGATTTGATTACATATTTTGAGTATTTTATTGATGTGGGTATGCAGTAGATTTTGGATTGAATTTGTTGTTGATCAAGTGTTAATCAAATTCTCCTATGTGTCGGGTATAATAGTCGTGTTGATAGTGTAATTTGAATTAGCCATATGATTATTGAATCCGGAATGAGGGAGTTTATTTAATGGAAGAAACTGTGTATGTTATTGCTTTCAGTTGCTATCAATGTCGGGCCGAGCTATGTTCATTGTTCAAAGCAATGACCCTGCTTAACTCTGTTACGAATTACTCGCAACAAAGGGGTATTATTTGTGAGACATAAAATATTCCGTTGTTGCGAGTAATATGTAACGGATGAAGTACTTCATTTTATGTTCATGTAAAATGTTGTTATATGTCATTGTTAGATTGTTATGAACGGCTTAATATTAAATTACATGACATTGTTACATAAAAATTGAAAGTTAAATAATTGAAGCCTTAATTTTGAATTACATTACTGTATATAGTTTTGCCACTGATGTTTTATGCCTCTATGTTAGTACTTAACTCTATGCTCATGGTTGTTCAGCTGAATATTGTGGAGGGAAAGATGCAGTATTTGTTTGATGAGACGGGTAGACGCTATCTTGATGCATTTGCCGGGATTGTGACTGTGTCTTGTGGCCACTGCCACCCTGATATATTGAATGCTGTAATAGAGCAAAGTAAACTTCTTCAGCATGCGACAACTATATATTTGCACCATGCCATAGCTGACTTTGCAGAGGCTTTGGCATCGAAAATGCCCGGAAATCTAAAGGTTGCTTCTCTTAACCTACATTGCCCACTTTAACCATTGCAAAGTTATGTTGCTTATTGTTTTAATTTGACATGTCTCACTAATCTGATCATCATCTCTCATTACTTGCACTCTAGGGAATTTGTTGTTTGTTGTTAATCTAGTCATAGATGTTTTTTACGAGTACTGTGGAGTATTTAACTCATAATTTTACTAGGTGATTTCAAGGCTTTCCTCAAATTGATGAACCGAATCCTATGTTTTAGTATATGACAGGGTTGTTAATTTACAATTATGCTTTCAATTCTTACAATTTATGTTAACAAAACCTTCTGCATTCATTATTAACAAGAAAAAATCAGCTGAACAAGAAAAAAAAAAATTGTTCTTGGCTCAGGAAACATATCTTAAATTTTATGAAATGTTCCTCCATAGTTGTGCATGACTTTTCACAACATTGCCTTTAACATCAACTTGATTTGACATTTCATACATCATCAATTTTTTTTATTTACTTTAATTTCTCATTTGATTTAGAAAATAGAGTTATGCTCTCCATTTCTTTGGTTAATTATTGTTTTGTAATGTTCCAAGATATATCATGATCCCCTTCACAAGTCTACATACCATCTTCCCCTTTACTGTTTTCCACTCTTAAACTCTCAAGTGAACAAGAACTTGAAAATGAGGGTATGACATCTCTGGCTCATCAATGTAAAATTTTTATGCAGGTTGTCTATTTCGTCAACTCTGGGACAGAAGCAAATGAATTGGCTACATTGATGGCAAAGCTTTATACTGGTAATCATGGCATGATTTCATTGAGAAATGCATACCATGGTGGAAGTAGTAATACCATTGGATTGACGGCTTTAAATACATGGAAATATTCAATACCACAGGTTCTTTTCTATGATAACCCTATAAGTACTCATTCTTATTATCGTAATATTATATCATGTGAGGTCTCATCAAGATTGTTGGTTCATAGTTACTTGGTTTAATACTTTAATAGTTGGCTATGATCCTCTGTTTCCTGCTATAGAGTAACTTTAGATTGCATGTGATGCATTGACAAATCTACTAAGGATTTTAAAATCCCGCTTTAGTGATTGGTACACATTTCAAAATTTTCTGCCACTCCTTGCCTTCTTTGGCCATGTATTGACTTAAGCCAAAGTCCTTATTGCTTAATTTTCTGATTTGCTTCCTGTTTATCTTGGACCTAAAGCTTATGTCTTCTAAGCTATAAAGGTTCTAACCCTATTATCTAGCTTCTAATCATGTACACTAGTCTGATTTTTCTAATGACATAAAGGGCCTGGTTTCTTGTGATATTCATAAGCATATGGAATTCTCTAGCTTAAAGTGAGAAAAGGTTTACTCTCTGGATATTAATATTAGTGAGTTCACAGAGCAAGAAGATAGAAATTCAGCAGGCATCGTATCATTATTTGCAAGAATAGACTGTAAGAGACCATGATGACCTTTAGAGAACTCCTAAAGGAATATAATTAAAAGCTACTCACAACAAAAGGTCACTATTTAATTATTTATAGTGCATGGCCATACAAGAGACTCCTGTGTGAAGAAAAGCCTCGGTTACCTTTTTCTTAATACCTGAAAGAAATTAAGAGAGAAGGTGAAAGAAAATAAAAAATTAGTGTCAAGGTAGGCCTATTAGCAAAAAAAACTAAGATAAAAATTGCACCAACTAAAACTTATGCATCACTCCTTTGTCCCTACATTTTCAACCCATTAACATTCTGCCCATAAGTAAGGACAGCTATAGCATTTACTCGCCAAGGTCTACTTCAATTCCAAAGCTTGCTGCTTCATGTTCTGTTTCTAATGGTTTGAACTTAGTAGCAAGACAGCTCTCTCTTTCGTGAATTGTTGCTTTTCTTTCCATCTCTAAATATTTCCTCACAATCAAGGTGTAAGGTTTAACCGTGTCACCTTTCTTTAGCCTCTCTCCTCATGCTGTACAACTTTGTTCTTCCATCATTTTTATAGATTGTTTCCCCTTATAGCATGGAAGTAGGTATTGCTTTATTAGTAACTTTTATGTCCATGGACATCATATGGTAGTTGATAAGGCTTGTTGGTAAGATATGTGACAGTCAAGAAGATTGAATCAATTGGATGTCTGTGCATATGCAGGGTGATATTCATCATGTGATCAATCCAGATCCCTACCGTGGTGTTTTTGGTTCAGATGCGAAAGCTTATGCAAGGGATGTTCAAGATTACATTGATTATGGCACATCTGGGAAAATAGCAGGCTTCATTGCTGAAACAATTCAGGTTTACCTTCTCTTTGTTTCGTGCTTCAAAAGCTTCTTGCTTTTAGCTACTGTAACTTAACGGTACATGTTATTTATGTTTAGGGTGTTGGAGGAGCAGTTGAATTAGCTCCTGGATATTTGAAGCTGGTGTATGATATGGTACGTAAGGCTGGAGGAGTCTGCATTGCTGATGAAGTTCAAACTGGATTTGGTAGAACAGGGAGCAAGTATTGGGGCTTTGAAACACAAGGCGTTATTCCTGATATAGTGACAATGGCCAAGGTCTTTAAGTATACTCTAGCTGTAGTACTTATGTTGATTTACAACAAGTGTAGCCAGTCTTTGTACTGCGCTGAAATTGTCAATTTATCTGACCAGTATACTTAATATAATGTTGCAGGGAATTGGCAATGGCCTACCCCTTGGAGCAGTGGTGACCACACCTGAGATTGCTAGCGTATTGGCTCAGAAAATTCAATTTAACACTTATGGAGGAAACCCGGTGTGCTCTGCAGGTGGTCTTGCAGTCCTGAGGGTAATTGATAAAGAAAAGCGTCAACAACACTGTGCTGATGTAGGGACCCATTTGATTGATCGATTGAAACTTCTGCAGCAGAAGCATGATAGTATGTGTTCCTATTATTAATTATATGAAGATATATGGTTGGTTTTTGTCTATATGACTAGCTAGTTCTTCTGTTGTTTTTTATTTTGAATGTGCTGAGGTTTGTGAGAATATCATTAGTCGTTTAAAACTTCTGTAGTCGTGGCATAACAGCCTGTAACCTCCTGGTAATCTTCTGAACAAATTTTCATTGTTAGTATTGAGTATCTATTCAGAACCTCAAATCAAACAAGGGATGTAGTAATATAGGTAATGGTTAACTTAAAAGTTTACTTTTTGGTCAAGTAGTCTAGTGATACTTTATTTGTTTTACGAACCTAGTCAAATCTTAATCCCTATTTTGTACAATTGCTCGGTATCATGTCATGCTATTCCAATAGTTGAACTGGTGATAGACTAGTGTTTTTGTTTATTTTTATCTGACGCTAGGATTATCTGTTTATATAGTCTTTGATTCATGTTGATGACTACATGGAATAATCAAATTTGGTTCATGTTAGCTGACCCCACTTATGGGATTAAGGCTTTGAATGATTGATTGATAGTCTGTGATTCATATGGCTGTAATTTTTTTTTCCTTTTACAGCAATACACAATATTTTCATTTCTCTTTGCTTGATAAGCTGAATGGAGCTTGTTGTACACCCGAGCTTCACTAACTTGACACTAATTGAAATTCTGCTTTTCAGTCATCGGAGATGTGAGGGGAAGAGGTTTGATGGTGGGAGTCGAATTGGTCACCGACAGGAAAGAGAAAACTCCTGCTAAGGCAGAAACTGGAGTTCTGTTTGAGAAAATGAGAGGTAATTGGACTCCTTCCAGTAGCTAGCTTATTATTATTTATCAGCTTCCTGCTCGCATATGTTTCTATACTGATGTTTGCCAATGTTTACCCTTTTTCTGTGAAGAGCTCGGTGTTCTTGTCGGCAAAGGTGGTCTACATGGAAATGTTTTCCGAATAAAACCTCCAATGTGCTTCAGCAAAGATGATGCAGATTTTCTTGTTGATGCTTTGGACTATTCCATGTCGAAGCTGTAGAAGGCAGCTTATAGTTCCGCCTCCCTAAGCAAGCCATGATCCAGGGGCTATTAAATTTATGTTCAACTGATGTTTGTACATCTTTACTGGGGTTATGGGTGGGAGTTGTCCGTAGCTTACGGGTTTTTTTAATTGAATCCGTGGTTTTTACTTTACCATATTGACTGATGCATCACATGTAATGGCTCAAATTTGCCTTTCTGAATACTAGATATATGTGCTTTGAAACAAGCTAATTTGATGTGATTTTTACAGTCAATCTCTTTCTCCTATTCTCACTCTGAAAGTAGTTTATTTTCTGGATTAGCAGCTAGACTTACAAAATGGGTTTATTTTACTTTGTTATACGGGTCAAGATTAAAGATTACTGTTTGATTCTGTTACTAACAGAATAACCGATTTTCTTAAACAAAAGTTGCAAGGAAAACTTTTTTTTAAAGTAAAAAAATCAAGAAATGGAGATTTGTTTCAAAATAATTTTTTTTTAAAAAAAAAAAAAAAAAAAAAATCAAGAAATGGCTTTTTTAAAAAAAAAAAAAAAAAAAAAAAAAGAGATTAAGAAATGCTATTTTCTGTTTCTTGATAACTGACTTATCCTAACTGTCATACTATTTCCTCTATATATATATATACGTTCTTATTCCTTCATTTTATTACTCACATCCTACAAAATTCTCGTCAATCTACATAAACTAGCGTACATTACTGAAACCAAAGCTCCATAAAAAATCATCAAAACACAGTTTGAATCATCCCTTTTCAAACCCAAATCAATCTTCTAGTTCTGTATTGTTGTTAGTAATGGCTTCTTCAAGTAATGATTTGGTTGTTGAGACAGATCCGAGTGGGCAATACAAAAGGTACGACACGATCATAAGAATGGGTAATAAGAGGACAGTTTACAAGGGCTTAGATGGTGCTAATCTTAAGGAAATTGCTTGGAGTAAGGTAGAAGTAACAGGCGAAATGAGAGATGACAAGAACTTGCTCCAGCGTTTGTGTGCCGAACCTCAACTGTTGAACTCATTGAGGCATGATAATGTAGTGAGTTGCTTCAATGTTTGGATTGGCGATGAAAAGATTAACATGATTGCTGAGTCTTTTCCTTTGGGGAATATTGGAGAGTATGTCAGGAAACATGATGTTACTGATATAAACGCGATCAAGAATTGGTGTACTCAGATTCTTAAAGGGTTGGACCATCTTCACAGACATGATCCCAAGATCATTCATCGCGATATTGACTGTGATAAAATATTCTTTGATGGAAGCTTCGACAGGGTGAAGATTGGAGAATTGGGTTTCGGGTGGATTTTTGAGGAGGGGAATGAAACGCCGACTTTTTGTAGCAAACCTCAGTTCATGGCACCAGAAGTTCTTAAAGAAAATCATCATAATGAGCTGGTTGATATTCACTCTTTTGGGATGTGTGTGCTTCAGATGGTTACTCGGGAAACACCATACAGCGAATGCAGATCCAATCAACACATTCTTGGAAGGGTTGGGAGACGTATAATGCCTGACGCACTAAGCAAAGTGACAGACTCTGAGGTTAAGAGATTCATTGAGAAGTGTCTGAGGCCTGCATCTGACAGACCCACAGCAAATGAACTCTTGAATGACTCCTTTCTTCAACCGAGTGTTTCTAGCTCTGTAGCAGCAAGTAGTAGTCTGAGTATGAATGAACCTAGGCCTTTTAGAATCAAAGGGAAATCTTTGGAGACTGGTCCTTTTAAGATGACTTTGTTTATTGCTGGTGAAGAGCCGATTAAATTTGATTTCCCGGTCAATGATACAACTCAGGAAGTCATGGAGAAAGAAGGGTTGTCAGCAAGAATGTCTGATGCAGAATTGTCACTGGTTTCTGAGCTTCTGGGAAAACTGAAAACAGAACTGAGTTCTTCAGATGGTTCCGAGATGAAATTACTTCAGATAACAAGTGAGGAGCGCGAGGTCAGGATAAGTTTTCAAGAGACTGATGAGCAGTAGCCTGAAGTTTCGGATATGCAAATTGATTGAGTTGAGAGTAAAAGTCTAGCATGTCTTTGAAGAGCAAATCAGTGTCGTAGTCGTAGATAGTATAATTCTTTACACATACTTCTCTGTTAGATGTAGCCAGTAGTATAGATTTTTCTGGACATTTTTTAAGTCTAATTCTTTGCTTGTAAGTTGTTTTGAGAACATTTAATAAAAGAACTTTTAAATGTGTTTGTTTAACATAGTGACTGATATATGTGCTTTGAAACTAGTTAGTTTGATGTGATTTTTTCAGTCAAAATCTCTCCTCATATGACTGATTGTAGTTTATTTTTTGGATTAGCAATTAGCACACCATGATGCTGTCAATGCGTTCTTTATATACTATTTCTTAAGGGTAATGGGTATTTCCTGTTGACACGAGGCAATTCGTGCTAGCAAGATTTGAGGAGGTGTGGAGTGTTGTTGCGACGATGTTGTTTGCAATGCTACCTCACAGCCCCCATGTAGAGAAGCATATATCAAATGGATTGCTCGCTCGCTCTGATGGCAGGTTTGCCCTTTGACTCTGATTGAGCTGCTAAAGGGCTCTCCTGGACCAGCCAGAATTATACAGGATGGAAGAATGTGCTATGGCTTCTTCCTTAAGTCGGGGTCTTGACCGTCTTGTTTTTCTTTCAAAGCCGAAGTTAAAGCTGTAGAGTATAGCTTAGAGCTTGCACTAAGGATGGGGGTATCAGAATTATATGTTGAAATGAATGAAAGATTGTAGCACATTTTATAGGAATGTGATAGAGGATCCAATAAGTCAAATTGAAGTTCAACATATTCATAAGTTGTTTTTTCATGCAAACATTAGGTCATAAGTTGTAGGTGTGGTGTTGCTATGTTTTTTTAATTTAGAATGTGATTAGTGGAATGTTTATATTTTTTTTTTAGTCATATGGAGTAATATTTTCCAAATTAGGTTGGAAGATTTCAGACTTTGATTTTAGTCGATATTCTTTACTTCTCATTATTAGTCAAGTTAGTTTAAATTAACAACATTCATAACTCGACTAACCTAAACTAAATCTTGTTTAGTATTGTTTATTTGTGTAACATTATTGGGGTTTTTTAAAAAATTATTTTAATGAACAAAGCTGATTTGTTATATAACTTAACCACTTAATCACTTATGTATAACAATTAGCGAATCAGTGTTCCTCTTATAAGGTATATTGCAAAATCGGCTTACTTTACTTTGTTACACTAATTATTACATAATGGGCTTATATTACTTTTTTTTTTTTACCTTAGTCAAGAATCAAGATTAATGTTTAAAAAAAAAAAAAAAAAAATCAAGATTAAGTATTTTTTATCGTGACTTCTAGTCTATTCTGTTACTAACAGAATACTCCGTAACAGATTTTCTTACACAAAAGTGGGCAAAGAATTTTTATACAATTTTTTAAAGTAAAAATCAAGAAATGGCTTTTTTTTTTTTTTTTTATAGTTTTTTTAAAAAAAAAAAAAAAAATCAAGAAATGCTATTTTCTGTTTCTTGATAACTAACTTATCCTAACTGCCATACTATTTCCTCTATATAAGTATTCTTATTCCTTCATTTTATGACTGTCACATCCCACAAAACTCTCACTACATACATAAACTAGCGTACATTTCTGAATCCAAAACTCCATTAAGAAAAATCATCAAAACTCAGTTTGAATCATCCCTATTCAAACCCAAATCAATTTTCTTGTTCTGCATTATTATTGTTAGTAATGGCTTCTTCAAGTAAAGATGCACCCCTCGAAAGTGATCCGAGTGGTCGATACAAAAGGTACGAAACGATCATAAGCGAAAGTGCTACAAAGAAAGTTTACATGGGTATTGATGGTGTTACTGGTAAGGTAATTGCTTGGAGTAAGGTAGAAATAACACCGAAAATGTTAAGGAACAAGGACTTGCTCGAGCGCTTGTGTGCAGAACCTCAGCTGTTGAAGTCATTGAGGCATCAGAATATAGTGAGTTGCTTTCATTCTTGGATTGATGATAAAAAGGAATACATTAACATGATTACTGAGGATTTTCCTTCAGGTAATATGGCAGACTATGTCAGGAAACATGAGAAAATTGATATAAGGGCGATCAAGAATTGGTGTACACAGATTCTTGAAGGGTTGGATCATCTTCACAGGCATGATCCCAAGATCATTCATCGCGATCTTAACTGTGAAAACATATTTGTTGATGGAAGCTCGAGTATAGTGAAGATTGGAGAATTGGGTCTCGCGCTGATTGTTGAGCAGGGGAATACAGTACAGAGTTTTTCTTGCAGACCTGAGTTCATGGCACCAGAACTTCTTGAAGGGTATCAATATAATGAGCTGATTGACATTTACGCGTTTGGGATGTGTGTACTTCAGATGGTTAGTCGGGAAACACCATACCACGAATTAAGTAACAAGTATCATATTCGTGCAAAGGTTAGGTCTGGTGAAAAGCCTGACGCACTGATGAAAATGACTGACTGAGATTAAGACATTCATTGAGAAGTGTCTGAGTCCTGTTTCTGACAGACCCACTGCAACTGAACTCTTGAATGACGAGTTTCTTCAACCGAGGCCAGATACATTACAAGTACAACCTAGGCCTGATACATTACAAGTACAACCTAGGCCTTTTACGTTAAGAGGGAAATCTTTGGGCACTGGTCCTTTTGAGATGGCGTTGATTATTGCTGGTAAAAAGCCGATTAAATTTGAGTTCCCGGTCAATGATACAACTCAGGAAGTCATGAAGAAAGAAGGCTTGTCAGTAAGTATGTCTGATGCAGAATTGTCACTGGTTTCTGAGCTTCTGGAAAAACTGAAAACAGAACTGAGTTCTTCGAGTTCTTCAGATGGTCCCCCGAAAAAACTACTGCAGATAACAAGTGAGGAGCGCGAGGTCAGCCCAGTTTTTCAAGTGACCACTGAGCAGCTGTCTGTAGTTAGGGGTATGCAAACTGATTGAGTTGAGAGTAAAAGTCTAGCATGTCTTTGAATAGCAAATAGTGTCATAGTCGTAGATCTTTCTTTTCGCATACAATTTCTTTTTTAGATGTAGCCAGTAGACAGTAGTATAGATATTTCTGGACACATTTTAAGTGTAATCCTTTGCTTGTAAGTTGTTTTGATGACAATTAATAAAAGAACTCTTAAGTTTGTTTGGTTGATTTATTTCTTCACTCAAAAACTTGTAGTTCCATGTTCTACTATGTTGGTGATACTTGTAATTTACTATTATTGCATGTCGCTGAGCATATACGTAGTATTACAGTTTACAACTCCGTAGTAGACTGACTCTCGTATATCCAACTGCATCATCATACTTGCATAAACAAAGTCTGAAGTGACTAATATGGTACACACATAAGGATGAGTGTTTACTGTAGAACCTGAGACCAGCTTCAGAGTCAGAGAAGGGGACCGAGGCGGCTAAAGAGGAGCAGGTTCTGTTTGTAAGCCCCTTACAATAATTGATGACTTAGAAAGCTTAGTTTTGGGGTAGTTATTGAAGAAAAACAACATGATGTTGACAGTGGAATTGAGCTCTTTGAGAATGTATCTTTACAAAGATCAATTTACGTTCAGTAGATTGGATATCACCGTTGTAGAGACTGGAAAGAGTTAATGCACATCTGAGTTATCCAATCAGTCTGATTGTCATACCATACCTTTTTGTGATAATTAACTAACTCATATATTGAGATTGTTCTTGTTCAATTAATTGGTAATAGTTATCCAATCTGTTGATAGCAGTACATCAGAAAGGCGCAGTTTAGGGTTTACTCATCATATTACAAATATCAACATTTAGCTGACTGCTTGGTAGGTGGCCAAAAATGGTTAAGTTGATAACTGATGAATTTATTCATGTTTTCATGCTAGTATAATTGTTGTATAAGTTCATGTTAATGCTACTATCCTCGAGTATATATTTTTTTCTGATACTAGTATATCTTTATTAAGCATCTAGATTTTATAGGCAAAACATCGTAGCATAAAATCGAATATCATACGGAGTAACAAAATGCTAAAAATTGGTCTTTACAGTCTAACTATCAAGTTTAGGGGAAGTCCAACTTGAATGCCTGATAAATAACCAGACAACTCTCAACATATACAACTACTATGAAGAAACTATCAAGATTCCATTTGTAACTAAAACCACAATAGTCCTATAAACCAAGTTCAATTTGAGTCAACTACAGCATAACCTCAAGACCAAAACAGTTATGAAATTATGAAAACTCAAACTATACACATACCTTGAGCCGCGATTTCACTTCTCCTGGTGAGGTTAGTATGTCAACAACCTTTTACCTTTTTTTTCCCGACTAAGCTCAGAGCTGTGTAGGTATAAAATAAAAGGAACATAACAGACAGAGAGTAAACTTCTCCATTTGAAAATATAGAACCAAATAAGCTGACTCCACCTCACTAGGCAGAAAATAAAATGCAATTGCCCCTGTTATATAGCTGTCAATGATGAAAAGGCCTCTTAAATCCACACATTCCCTCTTTGCATTAAAAACGAAAATCCTGAACGTTTACATACGAGATAATCTAAAGCCATGGACCTTAACACATGGTCATTCATAGCTGTTATAATAAATAATACTGAGTAAAGGAAAGAGACAGCATAATCAAATAGAGGCAAATTACAATGTCCTGAAAGGAGTAAATTCTCGATATGAGCTCAACACGCTAAAGCGAGGTTATACAGGATTCTATGTTACATCTGAGAGTTGATGAATCTTATTCCTCTGACATTATTAAGTATTGAAACCAACTTCACCTAATAACCCTTCTTGCAGGAACTCATCATTCTTCCTAATGCTAGAGAGTTAATGCATCAAAAGCCGATGTCCTGAGAGAAATAATCCCACCACTATAGCTGTACAAGATACTTCACTTATTCAGTCTTCACTGGTGCATCTGCAAGTTCATGAATTTCTTTTTTGCTCTTGACCGAACACCTTTTCTTTGTATCAAAATCAACACTATCCAAGTCTTCAGAAATCCCCATGTAGCCATAGAGCAGCCCATCCTCTACCTTCTCAACCAGATTATCTCCTTGTGCCAACTCATCAACTGGCTCAATTCCAGAAATTGCTTGTTCAAAATCAACTCTTCCATGCTTCCTCCCAAGAAATATTTTATGAAGCCTCTCTGCCTCTTGAAGTCCAGAAAAAGTGCCCAAGAATTTCACCAAGATTACACTGTGATCACCAGGATTTCCTAGACAGATTTTCATCTTGCCTAGATGGAAACCCTTGACTGCATGAGTGCATGACCAAAGTGAGAGGTTAGCAAAAAAAATTAACAAAAAAACACCAATAATAAAAAAAATAAAAACCCCTTAAGAATTCTGAAGTGCACCTACATAAATTATTATACATCCAAATATCACTATTAAAATATTAGATCTTCTAAAAGTATGAAAATCTATTGCCTTGAGAAAAGACCTAACTACCTTTCTGTGTATTACTCTTTGAAAAAATGAAAAAGAAAGAAAGAAAGAAAGAAAGATAAGGAAAAATAAGAAGACTGTTAATAAGGTGAATGTGGACATTTCACATTTCCAACTGCATATGGCAATGAATTAAATTAGTAGTAGTTTTCCAGTGATTAAATCACAAACCTCTTAGAAACTCTCCAAGTGCATCAATGTTAATGAGCTTCCATTTGTTGTGATCATTATTTGACAATGAAATGTTGTGAACAATAACAATGGGGGGCCACAGTATAAGGTCCTCCTTCTGAGCCAATGCATCAGGTTTGGGAAGTAACTCTAGAACCCAGGTGCCTGAATTAGGGTCTGACATGGTGTTCCATCCCATGAGAAAACAAATAGCTCTGTGAAGACCCAAGTGTTGCGGCCTCAACCCAACCTTGTAAGACATATAAGCATGAGTCGCCAAAGCCTTTGTATTTAGGAATTCTTTTGATGCACTGCAAGAAAAAAAGTTTGGTTGCCACATCATGCATCGATAAATAATTTACAAGGGTTCTCCCGATCATTGCGTGAGGAAATGGTAGGGGACAAAATTTCTCCGAACGAATTTACCTACAAATGATATACCATCTACAATACTAAAGCATTCTACAGCATATGTCACCGAAAAAAAATTTACCAAATGAATTTACCTACAAAATGGCCTCCTAGTAAGGATTTGATAATTTGACCTCATGACTTGAAGGTTATGTAATCAAATCCCACTAGGGGCTCTTTGGGAGTTAGGGTTCCCTTATCCTCCTCCCTCACTCCCAATGAGTCTGATCTACAAAGCTAGACTAAATTGGGCTACAAGAGGTGCCGGTTCATTAGGGTCCTTCTTACCCTTTAAAAAAAATTCTACATGGACATTTTACCATATGCAAAGGGGGGAATATTTAGTGAGACAAAAGCAAGTTCCCACAAAGAATCCTTCTGTCCCTACCAAAAAACAAATGCAAGCAGCAGTTATTACCACCACACTACCCATACAGATGTACCCAATACATGTGTCATCTCCAAAAATCACACCCTATCAAATCATAGAAAGCCTTAAGAATCAAACCGAAAAGTCTCTCCAACAAAATCATCCCATCATCCAAGTAACACAAAGAAGACTGGTGGCAGGTCTCTAGCTAAAGTATACACCTCAAAAAAAAAAAAAAACGAAAATTACCCAACCATAACCATTTGGTCAAACATGGGACAGGATCACAGGAGTAGTTATAACCATAGCTATACATCATTTAGCAAAGTAAATACCCACATGGCATTGATGAAGAATAAGAATAACAAGATTGTAAATATTTATCTAGTTCGTGAAAGAAAGGACAGACCTTCGGCGGCAAACAACGCAGAACAAACTACCAGCTTTTCCTTCCTCCTTGTAAAGCTTTCGAGCAGTTGGATTCTCATTAAATCTCTTGGAGAAGTCTAAGAAAGCTGCTTGTATCCTCTGCTTAAAACTATCAGAATCCTCTGAAGGATCAGACTTCCAAGGAGTTCCGGAATATTCTATTATGTCAGCAGTCTGTGCATGCATTGCTACATTATTGCCCTTATCATTTCTTTGCCTGAGATTTTGCTGCTTGTAGTGAGTATTTCTTGGATGTGAATGGGAGATATGGTTGTAGCCTTTAGAGGATTCAGATTTTGTATATCCTTTGAAATGTCTATTTCCCATTTTATATGGTTTTCCAGAATGCTCTTGAATACTTTCTGATTTATCTTGATATGAAGTCCAATCATCATTAATAGAGTCTTTATGAAAGTAGGTACCATCAGGCATTTGCTCTACTTCTGCATAGTAGTGGCTGCGCTCATATCCAGAAGGTCTTTTCAGATGAATGATATCGCCTTTCCTACTGGTCCACTCGACCTGGTGATCATGATAATCATTCTCATTTCTGGAATCCATCCTGCTAACATTATCATTACTATATTTACGCTTCAGCACTCTGTCATTATCTACAAGTTCATCAGCCTTTATTCTTTCATATCCTCCTGTACCTCTTTGCAATTCCACATTTATATATTCAGAAGAATTCTTTAACATGGTTCTATCAGAACCAATCTGTGCATACCTTTCATAGCCATAATCCAAATGAGGATCCTCAAATTCATGCTCGTGTAAGCCACCAAGATCTGATATATGACGATGGTTTGAAGCTTTTCTAGTTGGTTCAACGTGAGAATTCCCACTATCCAAATACTCCCCAGCTTGTATTAGTCCATTTGATGATCTTCTTGTGCCCACATAATCTAGTACCGTCTCTTTTTGAATAACATCAAAGTCTCGACCTCCAACATTCTTAATGATTCTTCGAGAAGAGTGAGAACCTTCACCTTTTGGTATACTTTCTACAAGTGAGTCCATCCTATCAGGTCTTAGTACATCTCTACGATCATGTACTTCACGAGTGTATTGTGCCTTAGTATACAAATTTTCTTGGGAAGCATAGCCAATTTCATCATCCCCTCTAACCCTGATTTCAGGATATTCATAGTCTTTACGCTCAGGCCTGGATGATTTGTATGCATCACATGCATAACATTTTGGATCCCTACATACTGGTTCGTAACCTCTTCTAGAGTCTGACATAATACGTTGACCATAATCATCAATAACAAGAGGTTCTAAATCTTTTCCGTAGCGTTTTGGATACCCATCAGGTGGCAAAGTGTGAACATCATGAACCTTGGATAGATACTCTCCCCTAGTCATAATACTTGAGGAGGTGCTTGGAATATTCTTTAGTAAGTCTTCACTTCCAAAATCCTTGATTTGAGATAGCGGAGAATCTATATAAGGACTCTCTCTAGAATAATATGCATATTGTTCTCCATCCTTGTAATAAATGTCCTTAGCTATCTTTTCATGAGATATTGCGTTTTGATACTGAGCATTCTCATTCTTAACTCTGTGCATATCAGTTGTCGAGTAGTTCCCACTAGGTTCAGCATATCTTGATACAAAAACATAATTAGGACGCAACCCAACATCTCTGTCCATGGCTTCCTCTTCCTCTTCCTCGAAAGGAAGCGTTTCAGCCATAGAATGATGCCCACTTGAGCACAATCTTCTTGCACTATATTCCTTCTGCTTAACAACATCCATATGATCATCATAATTGTAAACATTTCTGGGTCTTGTATTCAAATTACTACATTCCACATATTCAGGATATTCCGATTTTCCATGGATTCTCATAGCTGTCGGACTTGTTCCGAAAGCCCTTTCATCTAGATGTAACCTCTTTTGTGGGTGTTGGACCGGAGGTGATCTAGACAACATTTGACCACCAACACCACCACCACCACCACCACCACTACCACTACCAACGCGAACACGATCAATGTGCTGCTCGTACTCTCTCCTTTCAAGTGAGCTGCTCCTTCGATCTTGATTCATACTCTGCCGATTTCTCTCCACCATCTCTTGAGGACTCAAGCTCCGCCTCGAGCGTACAGGACCACCACGGCGTGGTGCAAAATAAGCTTCCTGCTCCGACTCATCCCGACGATCTCTCGTCGGAACAACTGAGGGTTTCAACCTCGTATCTTCATGTCTTCTAGACATATTCAAATTCAGCTTAGCAACAACAGTACTACCTTATAGCAAATTCGGGTTCCAAACCCTAGTAAATCACCAAATTATAGAACTTTTCAAGTATAATCAACTACTAATTGCATCAACAACCACCAAAAATCCCAATATCTTAAAGCTAGTTCAGCATAAACCCAAACCCTAAAATGCAAAAATGAATAGTATACCTGAACCAAAACACATCCAAATTCAGCAAAAATGCCAGATTTAGTTCAAAATTTGAATAATTGAGAGCAAAAGTAGCATAAAATTTTCAATCAAACCTTGTCGATTGGAGAATTTCTTCAGAACCAAACCTTTGAGGATCGATCTCAATCAATAAGCATTCCAAAGTTGGATGATAATAGTACGGTAACTTAGAAAGAGGAAAGTGTATTTGCAACGAAAAATTGAAGCTTTGAGCATCCAAAAATGTGAGAAAGTAGAATGAAACTTCGTAATATCGATTATATAATTGAGAGCATACTTGAGAAGTTGGAAGTATCACTTTTTAAGCAAGTTTAATACTCTTTCTCACCCACCCAACTTTTACTTAATCCTTGACTTTGTAGCACCACCACAAGATTTTTATGTGATAATGTGAGAGCACTATAACATTCTACTCCTATCTAATTAACATTTTCCATTTCAAAATATATTTTAAAATTATTAGAATCACCTAAATTACTTATCTTACAAGTAAAATAACATAATCACTTTTTATACAAGACTTAAGGCATGTTCTCATTGACTGAACTCAGCTGAACTGAACTGAACTGAACTGAACTGAATTGAAATGAATATTTTATAAGAGAAGGAAATTAGGAGATGAGCTGAACTGAACTGAACTGAGCTGAGCTGAACTGAACTGAGCTGAACTGAACTGAACTGAATTTTAGCGTAATAGAACATGCCCTTATTGTTCAAAGTAAATGTCTCATGCTAACTTTTACACTATTTTGACCTTGTACTTTATATTTATGCTAAATATAGTCATATCAGTGCTTGCTTTAATCGTCTCTATTAACATATTTTATAAATATCATCTTCTTATAACTTATAACTATTGATAATTAAAGATAGTAACGGTTAAATTTTCGCATGGTCAAATATGATGGTCAAAATGGGCATTTATTTTGAAACATAAGAAGTAGTTGATTCATTAACATTATAACTCGCCTTGGATTCAATAGAGGTAATATGATTTGAAGTGAACCCAGCCGATCCGTCTCAAAGGCGCCATTACCCAAAATCAAACCAACCTAAAGATGACTCAACTCGTTGTTGACCCAACCATTTTAACCCATAATCAATTTGACCAAGAAAAATATAGGTAAGTCAACTCGTAACATGTTTCAACCAATAATTTGTTTTACTCGACCTTTTTTGCTACACACAAGTATAACTAGTTTTATCTAATTTATTTTCAACCTAGCATTTAATAATATTTGACTTATGCTTATCGAACAATAAAAAACCCTCCCTCCTGCAAAACCACCCACTCACCACCAACCCTTCCTTCCTCCAAACTCACCCACCCAGCGAACCACCCATCGAACTTCACCCTAGCCACTGGACTTCACCCAAGCCACCGCACCTACCCTATGAACCACACCCACCCTGCGAATCGCAGCCAGCACAACGCACCGCCGAAATAACAACAACAATTTGTCGCCGATTCGACCACCAAAAATCTGATTCTTGAACCCTAAAGGAAGAAAAACTCCAATCCTTTACCCTTTCACCCTCAAATTGAACGGAATCGACCATTGAAACCCTGAATGGTCATGAGGGCTGGGTTTTGGTAGTGAGGCAACATAAAACTAAAACGGCAATAGCTAACGACAACTTAACGGCAGGGTTACATCGTATACACTAAACATACCTTGGGGTTACAGCGTGAAATTTTGAAAATGAGTGGGCACAACTTAGAAAAGTGAATACCTTAAGGGTACTGTGTAGAAAAACCCTTTTTAATATTATGAAAGTGATATGTGGACAGTGATAACGCCAGCAACGGGCTTTTAGTAATAGTTAATAGATTATAGTCAAGGGTAATATTGTTATCTCACCATGCGTCACCTCTTTGAGACTAACTTGAGGTCATGTCATAAAATGTTAGACTAAAACTTCATCATTATATTTGATACGACATCTTATATTACGTCATGAAATTTATATGGAGAGATACATTTCCTCACATTGAAATTAAAAAAATATCTATAGTAATTTTCAAGTCCCTAATATAGTAATCTACTCATAAATAACTAGCATTCCTACCACTAACTAAATTTGAAATTATTAATAGAAAAAATCAACTAAAAAAAATAAATCAACTACAATATATTAAAAGATACGGCAGCAATGATACGTGTCATTTCCTAGTGTGTCTATAGTTTTTTTATAAAAATAAAAAAAAAATAAAAAAAACTAAACTAAACAAAACAAAAACAAAAACAAAACAAATTATTCTATTTATAACAAATATGATCTTATACACAAATAAAAAAAATAATACAAAAAAATTAATGTCTTCTTCCACAATATATATTGATACCATAAATAATAAACTTAAGTAAAAAACTAAAAAAAAAAAACAAAAACAAATTCTTAATATAATTTGTGATATGCATAGTATTATGTACTAATGTACCATTATTACAACAAGGAATGGTTTTTTTTTTTCAATTAAAGACTTTTGTATTTTATCGTGTATATACGAAAAACTTACCGGGAAATAATGAAAAAATATTTAAGTCAATTAATTATTGTAAAAAAAAATAATGCATGAGAGAGAATTAATAATAGTGTGTAAAAACAAAATCTATTTACAGGTTATGCATATTTTTAAGATATGCATTTGATTAACAAGAAGAAAATAATATAAATATACTAGATGAAACCCGTGCAATGCACGATTTTTTTTGTTTTTTTTTTATTTTTTGTATGTATGTGCTTAAATTTGTTATATATTTGGATAAAATTCATAATATCAAAAGATAATATTTTATATTTAGTTAATTTAAACTTTAAAATCTCAATCGCCAATTTTGCTTACGTGGCATTTGAATTATTTAATTTTCAAAGAAATTAATAATCTCTTATTTTATTGGCTACATCTAAAATTTATAATCATACGTGGTGCGTTAAGAAAATTAAATCCTACGTGACTCTCTAAAAACTCGAGAAAAAACTCTCCTTTATATATACATATATATTAGATTAGTGAAATATATAAATATAAATATATGAGTATTTAAAAATATCTATTTTGCTAATAATAGACTTTTTCATAATAAATTCATTTTACAAAGTAATAACTCAGACATTTCTTTCTTTTTTTTTTTTTTTTTAAATTACCGTGCATGGCACGGGACCTAACCTAGCTATAATGAGGTCTTAGTACCAACATAAATGTTAATGGAATTAATCATCTTGCTCAATTAGATTCCTAAATTCTCGCCAATTTTAATTACTTAGATTTTCCACGGATAGAATTCCCCTAAATAATCCCTAATTATCTTAGATTTTCAAGGGAAGAATTCCCATAACTAATTATGTATTCTAAGTTGTGCCCTTACGGTTCTTGAGTTTCTAAGGTGTGCCCATTTTATTTCAAAATTACAAGTTGTTCCCTCCAACTTAATTTTTTTAATCAACCTTACCTTATAACGTTAACTCGGCGTTAGCAATTTCAATAACATATATAGGATGTAATAAAAAGCGGATGAGAAAAAAGAAGAAAAATTACACCGAGAGTGCGCTTGAAATATCAATGATTGCTTTTAGAAGAAAAAAGAAAAGATAGATTAGAAAATGTGGAAAAAATGCTTAATTTTAATCCCCTTATATAAAATGTAACTCAATTTAGGCGTGAAATTTCTCTCCAAAGTGGGGTGATTTAACAGTTAACACAATTACTCACAATGGGTTAACATCAAAGGGTACGATTAAATAAATATCTTAAGTTGGAGGGAACATCTTGTAATTTTGAAAAAGCATGGGCATACCTTATAAACCCAACAACTACGGGGGGCATAGCTTAGAAAAACTCTAGTTCTTTTTATTTCACTATCAATCAATCAATAACATAATACTAAAACATACACCATGAATGATATGTGTCACTTCTTGATGTTGTTTTTTCCCTCCAAAACCCCCATTCCCCTTTAGCAAAAGTATTTTATTTTTGGAATATTTGTATACTACAACTATTATAATATAGTATTTCTAATCTTTATAGTATCTTTATAATAATTGTATTTTTGTGTTCTATGTATTTAAAATGGTTACACAAGATTTTGAGACCTTTTAAATTAAGGGAGAATAAAGTATAATTAAGAAGGTTAATAACTTAATATATCATGGAGAGTATAAAATAAGTGAGCCAAAAATACAATATTAACATTTAAATTACCATTATATAGTTGTACAATAGTGGGTTTCAATGGGGGAAAAAAAATTCTATTCATGGTGTTGATTTTTTAAATCTTATGAAATAATAATAATTGAATTAGTAATATGTTAAATATTTTTGTAACAATTTTACCAACTTATAAATTTTTTTCCTTCAAAAATCTATTAACTATTACTAAAAAGATCATGCTTACATCGATCATTTTGGACCTATGTTGCTATCATTAAAAAAAATTTCATCAATATAATATGATGTTAGCTTTAAGTTTTATTTTTTATTTTACTTAGCTTAATTTTTGGAAGTACATTGTATAGTTTTTTTTAACTAATATAATTCATTAATAAAAAATCATACATACATACAACATCTATATTGTACTAGGGTGGCCTACGCGCGCGATGCCCGCTAAGGAGTTAGCTCTTGTGGAAAAGTTGTATTGACGTGTATTTACACCTTTGGTTTGGGTGGTAGACCTGTTAGTTTTAATATGTACTATTTAGTTTGTGTGCCTATGTGGTGACTTTGTAGAAGTATAAAAAAGACACCAAAATCTTTTATGACAATTATTATTTGAAACCCTCAAAAGTTAGACACTATTATTTCAAAATTATTATTAATTAATATTTAATTGATTTGCAGCCCTTCATATCTTAAACTACTATTAGTTTAGAACTCACGTGATTCAATAATACCCTAGTGTGTTTTTCTTCAACTATTTTTTTTAGCTTTGGTCATATGGAGTAATAATATGTGAAATGTTAGTTTTAGCTAAAAACTTCATAATTTAAGTTTTTTTTTTATTGTTTTACGACCATCTAATATTTGTATATATATCTAATACTAAATCAATAACCACTTAGTTTTTTTTTTCATTCCTCGTAAATTTTCTCCATAATTAATACTCTGTACCAGTCTAGTTTTTTTTTTCATTGATTTCCCTTGATTTTAGGATTTTTAAATTCATATATAACACCTCTTGATAACATCTGCTTAGGTATCATTATTTGGATTTTTTTCTCTGCACATTCCATCCTTAAACTGAATTGGAAATTTGGATTGCTTGGATGTGATATTTGATTGTTATATTGTTTTACATATGAGTCATCACTAATTCTAAACTTGTAAATCACGTAAAGTGCA